AAGAGTGTTGTATCAATATTACGAATTGTCTTACCCGAAACCACACCTAACTTTAAATTCAGGGCCCTTATTTACGAAAACTTAAACTAAGTTACAATCGAAATTTTAAGAAATACTGCAACTTCATTGGATATATGCAAATTGATTTTACTGCTCAGCCAATCGAATTGCAGTATTTCTTAAAATTTCGATTTTATCTTAGTTTAAGTTTTCGTGAATAAGGGCCCTGATATACTTCGAGTATAACGTCTATTTGACAGAGACTGGTCATTTCGGGACTAACACGTTGATTAATTTATTTCAGTCATCTGCTAGGGCGTACAATACTATCCGCTGAAAGAGTAAGGATACGTTTCAGACGAGTTATTTGTTTCTCTTATATACTCCTTCGTTGTGTCACTCACTTGCATAATTAGCACATCTTCTGGGTCGTGCACCACAGGCATCCCCATCACTATTGTCAGGCTCGGAGTAATCTGAATATAAAAACGAAATGTATTATTTTGGGGGTTTTAAAAGGTGTGGTCGAAAGAGACATTAACATTGATACTACACGAGTACGTCAGCGCAAGTATCAATATACTCCGCAATAATCCACACCCAACTGAAAATAGGGCATGGTATGAAATTGCCAGCTTCCAATATTTTCGCCATCGTTTATAAAGATTAGATTGGTATTGTTTGAAATAATGGTTCGCCAACATCAAAGTATGACGTCACACTTGTATATACTTACTTCTATTCTTGTATGAGTTGTGGAGTTAAAGCGGATCTCAGTTCTGAATAAAGCCGATTTTAAATTTTCGATTTTTATATATTTTCCAATTTGTAGGTTACTTAGCCACTCCTGTGTCGGCCTCCAAAAAGTCACAGTGGCGCTGTATTGTTGTGTTGGTCGTAGAGTTAAATCGGATCTCCTATTGTTGTGGGGGGTTGGATGGCCGAATGGTTAGCACGTGCGGGCTGTATCATAAAGCCTGTCATTAAGTGAACTGGCGTGGTTTCGAATCCCCGGTTGTAGGTGACAAGGAGTAGGATCACCTGTCCAACCTCGTGGGTTTTCTCCGGGTCCTCCGGTTTCCTCCCACTGCGAAAGACCCCTACGCGCAAGCGAATTATTGAAATAAAATTAAACCATATGTTAGTCCCGAAATGACCTAGTTTGTGTCGAGTGGACGTTAAACCCTATTTCTCTCTCTCTCTCTCGCACCTGTGTGGCCTCCAGAAGGTCACAATGACGGTATCCGTGGCATCTTTCAGTTTTATTTTTTTAATAGATACAGGTTGATTTTTTCTATTTATTTTTTCAATCTGGTATTCCTGAAATAATTGTAGATATAGATCATAGGTTATAAAAACATATATAATTAATAGATTGTGTTACAGTATTGCTTTCTATCAGGTTCAGATGACAAGACTAGTTTAACATCTTATAATACTTTTATTCTCTGCTTCTTACATATCACGTACAAACATCGTAATATTAAAGACACCCAGAACTAACTTGTATTGAGGGAGCCATGTCCTAGCTTGGCTAGGCACGAGTGTGCCAACTCCCAGACGCTCTCCCTCGTTCCGTTTCGTTTCTTGCCAAGGCGCCCATCCTCCTCTCTCGCGTCCTTGCCCGGACCTGACTAACTATGTCGTTTCCATTCTGGGTTTATATACACTTCAAGACAAGGGATCTTATTAGACACCTGGCTAATGTATCATATCAGGTCTAACATTCTATACATGCTTAACAGACAAAGAAAGTTTAAATAAAACATGCCAACAACAAGTTATGGTTACATAATGACATAAGGAATGCTACCAAGACCTCCAGGGGTGTCGATAGTAGACAGGTTCAAAATCACTGTAACATCTGTCATTATGTAACAATTGTGCCAAGAATTAAATTGCATTTCACCTTTGAACGAGCTACATTTCACATTTTCAATTTTAATATATTTCCAGCCAGACTGGTGTAGGTCTCCACAAAGTGACTATAGCCTGGTCTGTGTCATCCCGCAATTTTATTATTTTTTTATAGAGACCGATTGGCTGTTGGTTATCTTTATGTCATTGTCTATTTTTAAAAGTTGCCTCCATTCGGGCGTGGGTTTCCACATCGTTATAGTTGTACTATCTGAATCGTCTTTAAGTTGCCTACATTCGGGCGTGGGTTTCCACATCGTTATAGTTGAACTATCTGAATCGTCTTTAAGTTGCCTCCATTCGGGCGTCGGTTTACACATCGTTATAGTTGTACTATCTGAATCGTCTTTAAGTTGCCTCCATTCGGGCGTGGGTTTCCACATCGTTATAGTTGAACTATCTGAATCGTCTTTAAGTTGCCTCCATTCGGGCGTGGGTTTCCACATGGTTATTGTTGTGGAATCTGAATCGTCTTTAAGTTGCCTCCATTCGGGCGTCGGTTTCCACGTCGTTATAGTTGTACTATCTGAATCGTCTTTAAGTTGCCCCCATTCGGGCGTCGTTTTCCACATCGTTATTGTTGTGCTATCTGAATCGTCTTTTTGCCTCCATTCGGGCGTCGGTTTCCACATCGTTATAGTTGTGCTATCTGAATCGTCTTTAAGCTGCCTTCATTCGGGCGTCGGTTTCCACATCGTTTTAGTTGTACTATCTGAATTGTCTACCTCCATTCGGGCGTCGGTTTCCACATCGTTATAGTTGTGCTATCTGAATCGTCTTTGATTTTGATTTTGTTTATATTTAGTTGACTCAGTTTTTTTTTATAAACCTGTTCAATTTGGTGTTCCCACAACCTGATTACCCACAGTTCCGTGCAAAACACGCCTAAAGCTCGCCGTAACAGACCGTTTTATTGGCTAATACCTCACACTATGCAGAACACGTCAATGATAACAACTCTTCCAGATCCTAGAGTAGTAAAGGACAAGTAAAACGAAATTCTGAACTATAAAAACGAAACGAAATAGGATCTGTGTTTTAATCAGATCATAGGTTATATGAACATGAAACAGATTGTGCCAAAAATCAAATGTCAAAGTAAAAGTGTAAGTGGATATAAGTGTAAGGAAGCTAAATAGGGCCAGGTTATTTTTAATTGGTGTTGTATTAACTTTTGTAAATTCAAATCTCAACCTGGAAATGGCAATTCACATGTTCGAAATAGTACGGCCAATGAGAAATCAATATGAACGAGACTAGGCGTATAATACAATTGAATCAAGGTTAATCAAGACTCGTTATTAATGAAATTCTGTAGAACAAGTATTGCAGACTGGTAAAACCTGCGTTGTTCGGGTCAATAGATGTCTTGATTGAGAAGAGAAAGGATTTTAAAGCGAGAATTTCATATTTTCTAAGAAAGTCAAAACATAATTATTTCTATGTCTTTTGCTCAATAGGTTATCAACTCACTATTATAAGACCATGGGCATTATTTCCCACCCTTAAAAATCATTGACACAGGAAATAATAACACAATTACCTCCCTTGTTTTCCTATTGCCTCCATGCATTAGCTACCTTCAAACGTTGGAATTTGAAGTTGAAAATGATATTTTTGCCAATTTCTCAGCTGGCAATAGTGAATTATAGGATTAATAGGATTATTCTTTAACAATGTAGGACGGTTTATGGATACCATCTATTTTAAGGCTTGATTTTAATAAATTTAATAAGACCCCTACGCGCAAGCGAATTGTTGAAACAAAATTGAACCATGTGTTAGTCCCGAAATGACCTAGTTTGTGTCGAGTGGACGTTAAACCCCATCTCTCTCTCTCTCTACCCCTCTCTCACTTACATCAGTATCTGTTGTTCGGTAAGACAAAGATGCCAATTAATTTATGTCAACAATTTCGTTAAATAAATCCTCCTTGCAAAAAGTCTAAACTGTCAACTATCTACAAATTATGATGAGGAGAGTGTCAAAGATTGGAACCAACAGAATGTTGAGCAAAACGACTACCATCTGTGATGTTACATCCATTCAACATTGAAGTCAATGGGCAAATAATCGCTAGTCTAAGACCTTCTACTCTATCACCCTTTTTCCCCACTATTGCTTGGCGATTTTTGTTGACTTTTTTGTGTAGAATCAAAGAAAAGGGTTTGAAAATACATTTTCTGCCAGGTTTTGGTGAATATTCATGATTTTGAGGCGCAAGGATACATGAGTTGAGAGGTTGGTTAGGTTGAAATGTAGGGCCGAAAATTGCATGTTTAATTACCTCTACTTCCAGCATGTGTATCTCAAGTTTTTCATGAAGAACCTCACACGTCTTTTGGGCAAGAGTTTGCCACATGTTGCCATCTTAGAGCCGATCTAAGAGACGAGAATTAACATTAAAATCAATGGGAAAATCATTAGTGATCTGTGGCCATAAGTTTATTTCCGGAAAAAACATGGAGAGGGTATTATATTGAAACAAGAGGTGGATCTAACCAACATGATTAACTCATAATTCAGATAATAGACAACTGACGTCATTTTATAATATCTCCAGATTTGCACCTACGTATTCAGGAATGCAGGTCAAAAGCATAATATTTACGAAAGGTATAGTTATTTCGTCCAGAAATACCAAGATACGTTGGTTGACTCGTCCACGCGAGATTTGCTTTGTCATCATATATAATCGTATGTAATTCCCTTAATGCCTGGTCTATTTTCTTACCCATTTACACTAAAATAGGAAAAAAAATACCTACAAATACTTCAAACGTCTTTATTTATTATTCTAATACGGTAGTAAAAAAATATTTTAGAATTTAATTTGTCGGTGGAAAAAAGTTAATAATTGTGGCTCATTAAGTCGCATAGATGTCATCCTTATCAGTGAATGTAGCGGCCTTGCGAATATTCACTGCTAATCAGTGTGCAAGACTGGCGTCAATGGTGTGTCGTTTGGGTTGTTTCCATTGGTTAGATCCAGTATTGTATTCAATATACAACCGGGTTCGTGTTTTGATTCTTTCACAAGTTCATTTCCGTATCCGTGTTAGGCCTACACCGGAAATGAACTTGTGAACCCCAAATAACTCTTAACAATTCTTATTCTTCGTTTTCTTTCTGAGAATTCGCCATTCTATGAAACCACAACAAAAACAGTATACCTGACGGTTGACTATTGACTTGGTTAACTGTACCAGAATAATGGTAAGTCTTGACAAGTGTTAGGAACCCTAACCCTAGGAGCTAAGTCGCTAATATTTGGGACCTAGAAATTGACTCTAATGGGTCGCAACGCATATAATAATGTAATCTGATTGTATATAAACTGATTTACATTCAGTTGTTTCCGTTTTGACTCTAATTTCAAATCAGTTATGTCCAGCGAAATACGGCATGAGTCTCAACCGAATTGCAATTTATAGTGTCATGGTTATTCCAGTCTATTGTGCATGCTCTCCAGATAATAGTATGTCTTTGGAGTTGTGGAATATGTCTAGCCCATGGCGGTGTATATATGCACACCTCTATGGTCTAGCCTTGTTCTCTCTGGTCACTTGTTACAAATGACGCTGAAATGCACTTTGGTACACGATTCGTGTACCAATGGTAAAATGTTTATTTTGTCTTAAATATTGGATATCAGAAGCCTAGCTTTTCCCGGTAAGATCACAACATCAATTTTGATTTGAATTGACAAATAATTCGGGTTTCAACGTGGAAGACTTTGGATGATATTCAGTTAGAGACTTAGCTACCTTAAGAATGCCAGTTAATACAAAAATTCTAGTTAAAGATTTTTCACCCATAAATAAAGAAATTGTGTTTGCAAGATTAATCAGAGCTAAAAACAAACACATTAGTATATCTTAGCATTTTTATACGCCCTCGTCGTATATTGCCATTGTCCCTATCGACCGGACGGGGGTCCGATGTTCATAATTGCTTGTGGATGCTCTAAGTTAACATCTGATGAGACGAAGAAGCCTTTTGATTTTCAACAATTTCCGATTATTACTGTCAGAATTAGGGCCCTTGATTCCTTTGAAAAATCTTCTAGACACTCTAGAGGCTAAAGTTAATATCTGATTGACTTTAAATTTATACACAGTTTTTAATGTCATGAGACTAAGAATCCTATTCAACTTCAACAATTTCCGACACTTGATCACTTTGAAAAATCTTGTGGACACTCTAGTTAAAAACTAGATAATGTAATGGCAAATTTCTAAAAATTTCATTCAAATTGATCCACTATGAACAGAGAACTAAGCGGTTGAAATTTCCGGCTATCCTTGATCATCATTACTAAAGTCAGTACGATAAACAACAGTCTCGATTATCCATTTAATCGTTAAATCGTGAAGGAGAGTTATGCAGTAAATCGGCTCATAATTCACTATAGATCGCAGGCTAGCGATGCCATCTTAGAGTTGATTGTGGTCTGGATAGGTTAATTAATGTCTAATTAATAATTTAGATAACATGTCAGGCCTAAAGAAAGACCCGCAATAGGCAGATTTAGGTCTTTCATAATGTATGTTTAATGGGTTATGACTTGTAATTAGATTTTCATGTGTTGTAAATGTTCTCATTACTGACAAAAGAAAAAATATGCTATAAAACTTGTTGACTGTCCGGACGACTTAGCTGCTGTGGGCGTATGTTTTGTTGCCTGGCAACCTATCTTATATATTACAGGAAACTAATGATGTTATATCTTTTATATATTTAGGCAACTAATGATGTTATAACATTTATATATGGCAGTAAACTAATGATGTTATAACTTTTATATATTACAGGAAACTAATGATGTTATATAACTTTTATATATTACAGGAAACTAACAATGTTAAAACTTTCCATCAGTGTGTTGTATGTGATGAGAATTTTCAACAGTATGATGATTTAGAAAAACATTCCAAAATACATGTTAGGGAAGAGAAAATTGATGATGTACATGTAGATGAATATTGTCAAATTAAAGAAGAGAAAACTGATGATGTAGATCGATATTGTCATGTTAAAGAAGAGAAAACTGATGATGTAGATGAATATTGTCATGTTGAAGAAGAGAAAACTGATGATGTAGATGAATATTGTCATATTAAAGATGAGAAAACTGATGATGTAGATGAATATTATCATGTTAACAAAGAGAAAACTGATTATATTGAAACTGTTTATCAGTGTAATTTATGTGATGAAGAATTTTTATCTGACATTGATTTAGAAAAACACTGTGAAATACATGTTAAAGATGAGAGCATGGAACAGATTTCACAAAATAATGAGACAAATTCTCAAAAACAAATAGACATAAAGACACCAGAAAAAAGTTATAAATGTGATATTTGTAGTAAATCATTCAAACACAATAACAATATACAGAGGCACATGAGAATTCATACTGGTGTAAAACCTTATAAATGTGATGTTTGTGGTAAATCATTTACACAGAAGAGTAACTTACAGGATCACAGGAGGAGACAAGTAGACTTAAAGACACCAGGAAAACTTTATAAATGTGATGTTTGTGGTAAATCATGTACCAGAAGAGTTGATCTTCTAAAACATACAAGAACCCATACTGGCGACAAATCATATAAATGTGATGTTTGTAGTAAATCATTCAGTCACCATGGAAACCTAGAAAATCACATGAAAACTCATACTGGAAAAAAACCTTTTAAATGTGATGTTTGTAGTAAATTATTTACCTTAAAAGGAAATCTACAGCACCACGAAAAAATTCATACAGGTGAAAAGCCTTATAAATGTGATGTTTGTGGTAAATCATTCACACAAAATGGTAGTCTACATCGCCACAAAACAACAACAATTCATAACGGAGAGAAAAAACATATCTAGTAATTTAACACGTTAGATCATGAGGTTTTGTGACTGAGTAAAATGCCATGGTTACAATTCCCTGTTGTTGCGCCTGTCCAACCTCGTGGGTTTTCTCCGGGTCCTCCGGCTTCCTCCCACTGCTAAAGACCCCTACGTGCAAGCGAGTTATTGAAATAGAATTAAACCATATGTTAGTACTGAAATGACCTAGTTTGTGTCGAGTGGACGTTAAACCCCATTTCTCTCTCTCTCTCCCTGTTGTTGTTTTTTTATAAACAATATTTATTCAGAAATTGAGGGGACTGGGAAACAGGCAAAGCCTATATAAACACCTCTCCTGATTACAAATAAATTACATAATATTATAATATTTAGCAAAACAAAAGAATAGATATAAACTAAATTAAAGAAAGACACCATAATACTAATTTAACGGCTATCGCTTTCTGTTTTTACTGGACATCTTCAGGCCATGTTTATTTATGAAGAATAATGTAGAACAATAGACACAACGAGCTTGACGTTTCTATAAATATATCAATTACAACCTAATAGTAATATGTACATATTTCTTACTATAATATCCGGTTTATTTAATTCTGGTTTGTACTTTTTGATAAAATAATTTTCTTTACATTCAAGTAAATCTTTATTTAAAAAATTCAATTTTACCAGGGAAATACGTTGAATTTTCCACCTCCGCATGTTTCGATGTGTGCACTTAAAGGTATGGTTCGATTACTTGGAATCTTAATTTGCGATCTATGAAGGTTCATTCGAAGGTTTAGTTGCCCTTCTGTTTTACCAATGTACTTCCCTAAACAACCATAACATACAATGAGATAGATTACATATTGTGATTGTCATTGGATTGATTTATTTCAATGGGGCTTCCGTGGACTATCATTTTACAAGTTAAACATCTTTCATCACCACATTTGGAAACAGTAGGTTTTTTTATTTTCTGAATTAAATTTTGAGGAAGTGAGAATTTGTCTCAAGTTCAGAGGTTGTTTTAGACTGTTGATCACATTTGTTTTGTTCATAATATATTTATGTTTTTCACTTTTAAATAACTGTGGTAAATGTGAATTGAAATCTAAATACTGGTTCGTGTCAGTATTTTTTTTAAATATAGATCTGTTGTAATGTCACCATTTCAAGTTTTTTTCTATTATAAAATTTAAACTTTCATTTAGTGAGTTTAGAATAAGATACGACTCATTTAATAAAACATTATCCTTAACAAAAATGATAAAACAATCATCTAAGAAACGTTTCCATGAATGTTCAATCTGTAATTTTGGATATCAATTGCCAAAGCTTTATTTACCCCAACTTCTATTACCTCGAGGGGGTAATGCTGTTTCAATAACCCATAATAATATATACATGTAAACATAAATTTTGAAAATTAAAATCGTGCTAATTTTTTAAAATGTAAACCTTTCGTTTTTTTCAATAAAATTATAGTACATGGTTAAAAATGTTTGTATGTGACAAGGAGCTCCATTTTTCTCCCACAGCTGAAGACCCCTCCCTACATGCGAGCCAATTACTGAAATAAAATGAAACCATGTTGGTATCAAAATTGTCTCCCCTGCTGTACGTGACAAGGAGTAGGGTCGCCTGTCCAACCTCGTGGGTTTTTTCCGGGTCCTCCGGTTTCCTGCTAAAGATGCCTACGCGCAAGCGAATTTTGGAAATAAAATTGAACCATGTGTTAGTCACGAAATGACCTAGTTTGTGTTGAGTGGACGTTAAACCCCATTTCTCTCTTCTCTTATTGACATTAGTATCTGTTGTTCTGTAAGACAAAGAAGCCAATTAATTTATTTCAACAATTTTGTTAATTAAATCCTTCTAGCAAAATATCTAAACTGTCAACCCTCTACCAAATAACTAAACTGTTAGCCCTCTACAAAATATTTAAACTCTCAGCTCTACAAAATATCTAAACTGTTAGCCCTCTACAAAATATCTAAACTGTCAGAACTGTCAGTCCTCTACAAAATATCTAAACTGTCAGCCCTCTACAAAATATCTAAACTGTCAGCCATTTACAAAATATCTAAACTGTCAGCCATTTACAAAATTATGATGAGGAGCGGCCAAATGCGGTCCCCTGTGTGCCTATCAATATTGGAACCAACGAAATGTTGAATATAAAGCTACATGTAGCCTGTGATGTTACAGCAATTTAACATTGAAGTCAATGGGCAAATAATTGATAATCCGAGTCCTTCTATTCGGCTACGTCTATTTCTTAAGGCCGCCCCAAGATTTCGTCATGGTCGCTGAGATGTAATAAGGTTAGACCGCATGATTGTTGACAAGATTGTTGGTAAGGGTTAGGGCTCTAGGGTAAGGGTTGGGATTAGCGCTAGGGTACCCGGGCCACTCGGACCAAAGACCAGTCAGACCAACCTAAAAGACCACTCGGACCTACCTAATAGTAAGTGCAGGAGGACCGCACTACACGTAAAACAAAAATCTACAAGATAAACTTGTGCACAAGTCAGAAAATAGACATTGCACCAAATAAACAAATATCAAATCAAGGTCAGCCGTAAGCGTCCACTGCGCTGTACAGTCCCGGGCCTGTAGTGACACAGACTCAAATTTGAAAACAATCATGAATACCAAAAAGACGTAACAGAAATAATGCGACCGATCTTGACAGTCGTCGTCTCCTCAATGGCGATAGTCTGCCAGTTGACGTCATGAGTTAGAACGTCAAACAATTTTAACAATAAGGGCAATAATCCGGATAGAATCTCGGAAAACGCTAAAATAATAAGTGTAGTGAGCAAACCCCGACCACGAGAACATTCTCCAGTACGAAGGGTCAAAACTCTTCTTTATACTCTAACCAATCAATTTATATTGGAAGACCACTTTGACCAATATTTATATTTGTTACTCGGACCAACCCAACGGGCCGCTTCTTGGACCATTATTTAGCTTCACTTATTCACTTAAAAAATAAATTACAGATTTTGAATAAATATTATTTATTATTAAATCATAATACAAAAGGGGCGAATAATTTATAGGTGAATCTATACATAATTTAACAATATCTTCCTTACTAGATGTGAGCAAAATATTCATATTTATTACATCAACAATTTATTAAATATTTTTTATATGCCCATGATATATGCCCGTCTTTATTGGCCCAGTCTGATGAATCTCACCAAGTCGCTTGGACCATAAATCAAACCACATTTCTTCAGAAGTTGGACATTACTGAAATCACACCAATTAAAAATAATTATACATTTTATATTTCTTTGATGTGCTTCATCTACTTTATTAGTTTGTAACACGGGTGAGTACATTATCAACACATGTACATACGAATTAATCACTAGTCAGTTATGGTTGTTCTGTTAATTGATCTTTGATGTGCTTCATTATGATCAAATACCGCGGATAAAATATTCATATTAAAACAACAATTTATTATTGGTCCGAGTAGTCACATTAAAACAAACACAATTTATTAAAACAATAATTTATTGGTCCGAGTAGTCTTTTTGTTTGGGCCGAGTAGTCATGGAACCGGCGCTAGCTCGCCCTGTTTACATCTTGTGACCTTTGATCTAACCCCCTTCTACTTCTTTCAGAAATTTATTTCCGGAAAAACATGGAGATGGTTTTATATTGAAACAAGAGGTGAATCTACCCAACAGAATAACTCATAATTCAGATAATAGACCATTGATGTCATTTTAATATCTCTAGATTTGGACCGTCGTCAACGAAAACAACAAAATGATTTTTTATAAAAGTAACACGCTGTAGGCCTGTAGATAACGAAAAAACAACAAAATTAACCAAATATATTAAAAAAAATAACACACAGGTAAAATGTAGGCCTAATGTTCGTTTTAAAGTCGTGTAGCACGGCAATCTGGCATTTGTTACCCTATTCGTTGCCCATTTACTTGGTTAACTGTAGCAGAATAGTATACCTGCCGATTGACCATTTACTAGGTCAACTGAAGCAGAACTTTACAAAATAATGGTGAGTCTTGGTATAATATAGTTCCTTTCCCTGTGTTATAAAGGAGCTAAATCGCTAATATTGGGACCAAGAAATTGACCCAAATCGGCAAATGGGTCGCAACGCATATAACAATGTAATATGATTGTGTAGTAGGACAGGGTTCGGATACTGGATGCAGCGACAGCTAATGTCATGAAACAAACAATAAACAAGATATAATTTGATACTTTTTATTATAAATTAAACAACAATGGATTCTGGAAATGTGACGTGTGCCCTTAATGTTTCAAATGATTGATTTGCCCGAAATACTAAACAGAAATCTTGAATCAAGTGAAAAGGCCGCAATGTCTATATCCCAGTGTCTGACAATAGAATGCAATGTCTTAACTACTAGAACACCATTAAAAACGAAATCACCGAATCCATCCTCACAAATCAAGTGAAAAGGCTGCGATGCCTATATCTCCAGTGTCTGACAGTAGAACGCAATATCTAAACTACTAGAACACCATTAAAAACGAAATCACTGAATTCTTTCTCACGAATTAAGTGACCAAATTCCAATATGGTTTAGTACGTGGATCGATTCAGCGATCCCCACAGCGAAGCGACAAGTAGATACAAATTATACCCAAATCAGAACTATTATCTAAGAGTAAGAAATGCGCTCAAACAATCTAGCCAAAATATGAAAGAAATGAAAATCAACACTATCTGGTTGATATGAGGCGATTATCGACTCTGACAACCGGTCTGTGTCTTACATATGATAAGGTTACCTTACCTCGGGAATTACTAACTGAAACTCCCCCGATGAATGATACACAGATATTTTGCTTTCATTTTCTGCCGTGTAAATGAAAACACGTAATTTTGGAGGAATATTATTGGCGTAAATTTGAAGCAGGTAGCCTACGGGTCGGTACGCTTTCATTCTAATTCTATAGCATTACGAAAACACCTAATTTTCTCGAAATGTTTTCAGACGTAAATTTGAATACTGTACGGGAATTGAATACGAAAAATAGCGAGGTGCACCTATTTTTTTTTTTGTATTCAGAACACGATATGCTACATAACATAAACTTAAAACTATTTGTAGTTGAAGTCTATTAAAGGGAACGAAAGCCCCCCATATACACACATAAACATTAGTTGTATACCAGTAGAAATTATGACCTATAGAGATCGTTCAATACAATACGGTGAAAACTTACTTATTTGATATTCAATCAAGAGGAACTGCTAATCAATTTTCAGATTGATTAGCACATTTTTTTTAGGAGCCACGGCGGCTAGATGGTTAAGGCGCTGGTTCGCTAGCGTGGAGGTCGGGTATTCGATCCCTGCATTGGCCGAGAAAGTTCATCTGGATTTTCCGACGTGGTTTCCCCTTATCAGTGGTGCAGAACGGAGAGCCAGACAAGGACAGCTGTCTAGTCTTTCGGATGAGACGGAAAACCGAGGTCCCGTGTATATATTAGAATGCACGTAAAAGATCCCTTGGCAGTTGGAATTCGATATAAGAGTAGGCAATAGTGCCGCTGCCCGGGCAAAATTTCCCTCATAGAACACTGTATGGTGTATGCCTGTCATCATTAGTCCAGTTTAGGAGCAGAACAGTAGGACGTTAATCCCCATTTCATTTCATTTCACATTTTTTTTTAAACATCCAATAATTGCTAATTAATTTTTTTTCCTTATCATATACCCTGATGATACGCGCCCAGTTTTATAGTCGAAGCATGCACGTGCGCGATAGTTGATAGGCTCGCCTATGCCAAGCAAGTAGACAAATTGATGAGTTTGGGCGACTGGTTTGAAATTCTTTATGCACATCGGATGACACTACCAACTACCACAATTGTATATAAACTGATTTACATTCAATTGTTTCCGTTTTGACTCAATTTAAAATCAGTTACGTCCAGCAAAATACGGCATGAGTCTCAACCGAAAATTTCTAGCGTCTAGTTATTCTAGTCTATTGCACATGCTTTCCAGATAAGATATGGCATCAACGTGTGACAGGAGTTGTGGAATATGTCTAGCCTCGTTCTTTCTGGTCACTTGTTACAAATGACGCTGAAACGCACTATGGTACACGATTCGTGTACCAATGGTAAAATGTTAATTTTGTCTTAAATATTGGATATCAGAAGCTAGTTCAGCTCTGAACGTAGGTCTCGTTACACTCATTCAGAGACTGTCCTATCGAATCCTTGTCGATAATCTAATCGCTTCCAAGTCAATTTTACTGGGCAACTTTTTACTGCAAACCGGTTGCGTGTCAGACACTGTGAACACCTGAGCAATATAAATGATCATCTTAGTGAGAAAATAAGACCTTGCTTATACATGCATTAGGCAAGAGCTAAATCTGCCTATTGCAGGTCTTTCTTTAGGCCTGAAATGTTTTCTAAAGTATTAATTAGACATTAATTAACTGATCCAGGCCTTAATCAACTCTCGATGGCATCAGATTTCTCCGATATTAAATAGATTAGAATGGTTCAGCGATACTTTGATTTAATCAAATATGGAGGACCGAGACTTAGCTTCGATCAACCAGTACGGTGGTTGAAATTATTGCACATGTCTGTCAAACCTTCAAAGGCAAATATCTTTGCTTGCAATAGAGTAATTTGAATGAAATTTTCAAATTATTCATTTTACATCATCTACTTTCGAACTATTATACCAAGAATGGCTAATTCTTTATCTAAATCTTACATAATGTATCTTTAACCTCGCTAGAACCAGTATGAGCGACACAACACATTAAAATAATACGTCCCCGTCTTCCAACCGACTTGACAGACTTCATTGAAAGGGTAACACACAAATTTACGAACTTGGCCATAAAAGATGGAAAAAATTGGGATTTTTGAAAAAATTTGATTTTAAATTATTGTAATTTGGCTAGGCCAAGCAATAAATGACTGAAGATTCTCAACTTTTTAAAGATTTCAATTTTTTTCTTCCATGCTTACCTAAATTTCGTTTCATCTTATATGGCTGAGTTCGTAAATTATGTGGCTTCTATACGTGCACATTATTCTGCACTGGCCATACAATTTTATAGTTACCTAGTGGATGTCGATTGTAACCATGTTTGAAAATTGGGTTTTGAAAAACAAGGCTATTTTTCCGGCGTGCAAAATGATCGATGGGTCAGATCTAGTTACGGTCATTTTCCGCACTACTCGGTCCAGACCGGCATATACGACCGACATGCAACCTATGGTTTCACTACATTGGGCTGGGTATGTTTAACCTATTTTAAAGATGTTTCATCCATCAATAAAGAAATTGAGTTTGCAAGGGTAATCAGAGCTACAAACAAACACACAACAGGACGGCATTGATTATTACTGTCAGAGTTATAGCCCTTGATCACTTTGAAAATCTTGTGGACACTCTAGAGGCTATAGTTAATATCTGATTGACTTTAAATTTATACACAGTTTTTAAGGTCATGAGACAAAGAATCCTATTCAATTTCAACAATTACCAATATTTACTGCCAAAGTTATGGCCCTTCATCACTTTAAAAAATCTTGTAGACACTCTAGAGGCTAAAAATTGAGTTTGCAAGGGTAATCAGAGCTACAAACAAACACACAACAGGACGGCATTGATTATTACTGTCAGAGTTATAGCCCTTGATCACTTTGAAAATCTTGTGGACACTCTAGAGGCTATAGTTAATATCTGATTGACTTTAAATTTATACACAGTTTTTGAGGTCATGAGACAAAGAATCCTATTCAATTTCAACAATTACCAATATTTACTGCCAAAGTTATGGCCCTTCATCACTTTAAAAAATCTTGTAGACACTCTAGAGGCTAAAAATAATAAAAAAAAACGTTTACAATCATGAGACAATCAAAACAATTTCTAATGATTTCCGATAATTACTTAATGGGTTATGGCTTGTAATTAGATTTTCATGTGTTGTTAATGTTCTCATTACTGACACAGGAAATAATATGCTACAACACTTGTTGACTGCCCGAATGACTTAGCTGCTGTGGGCATATGCTTTTTTGTCTGGCAACCTATCTTATATATTACAGGATACTAATGATGTTACAACTTTTATATATTACAGAAAACTAATGATGTTATAACTTTTATATATTACTGGAAACTAATGATGTTATAACTTTTATATATTACAGGAAACTAATGATGTTATAACTTTTATATATTACAGGAAATGAATGGTGTTATAACTTTTATATATTACAGGAAACTAATGATGTTACAACTTTTATATATTACAGGAAACTAATGATGTTATAACTTTTATATATTACAGGAAATGAATGGTGTTATAACTTTTATATATTACAGGAAACTAATGATGTTACAACTTTTATATATTACAGGAAACTAATGATGTTATAACTTTTATATATTACAGGAAACTAATGATGTTATAACTTTTATATATTACAGGAAATGAATGGTGTTATAACTTTTATATATTACAGGAAAGTAATGATGTTACAACTTTTATATATTTCAGGATACTAATGATGTTAAAACTTTCCATCAGTGTGTTGTATGTGATGAGATTTTTCAACAATATGATGATTTAGAAAAACACAATAAGATGCATGTTAAAGATGAGAAAACTGATAATGTAGATGAATATTGTCATGTAAAAGAAGAGAAAACTGATGATGTAGATGAATATTGTCATGTTAAAGAAGAGAAAACTGATGATATTGAAACTGTTTATCAGTGTAATTTATGTGATGAAGAATTTAAATCTGACATTGATTTAGAAAAACACTGTGAAATACATCTTAAATATGAGAACATGGAACAGATTTCACAAAATAATGAGACAAATTCTCAAAAACAAATCAACATGAAGACACCCGAAATACTTTATAAATGTGATGTTTGTAGCAAATCATTCAAAAACACTAACAATCTACAGAGGCACGGGTTGATTCATACTGGAAATAAACCCTATAAATGTGATATTTGTAGTAAATCATTCACACAGAAGAGTACCTTACAGAGACACATAAGAACGCATACTGGAAACATAACATATAAATGTAATGTTTGTAGTAAATCATTTGCAAACAGTAACAAACTGAAGCGACACGGACAGATTCATACTGTAGGAAACCCTTATAAATGTGATGTTTGTTGGAAATCTTATACTGAGAAGAGTACCTTACAGAGACACATTAGAATTCATACTAGTGATAAACCTTATAAATGTGATGTTTGTAGTAAATCATTTACTGAAAGAGCTCATCTACGGAGACACATGAGAATTCCTACAGGTGTAAAACCTTTTAAATGTAATGCTTGTTGTAAATTATTCACTGAGAATAGTGACTTACAGAGACACATGAGAATTCACATTGGAAAAAAATCATATAAATGTGATGTTTGTAGGAAATCATTTAGTTACAGTATAAGTATACTGCAACACATGAGAATTCATACCAGAGAAAGACAAAAACCATATAAATGTGATGTTTGTAGTAAATCATTTAATAGTAACCAGGACCGAGATAGACACATGAGAATTCATACTGGTGAAAAACCTTATAAGTGTAATGTTTGTAGGAAATTGTTTTCTAGAATTTATTGTCTACGCAAACATACAAGTACACATACCGGACAAAGACCTTATAAATGTGATGTTTGTAGTAAATCATTCACAGGGATGCATGAATTACAAAGACACATGAGAATTCACACAGGTGAAAAGCCATATAAATGTGATGTTTGTAGTAAATCATTTACTCAGCTTTGTACCCAACAAAGGCACCTTCGAATTCATACGGAAGAAAAACTTTTTGAATGTTACGTTTGTAGCACGTCATTCCTAGAGAAGAGTGACTTAAAAGGACACATGGGAATTCATACTGGAGAAACCTTATGAATGTGATGTTTATAGTAAATCATTTAGACACTAGAACACATACGGGTGAAAACCCCCCAAAATATGATGCTTTTTGGAAATCATTTAATAGTAACAAAGATATATTAAGACACACAGAATAACTCATATTGGAGAAAACCTTATAAATGTGATGTTTGTAGTAAATCATTTACCTTGAAGGGCAATCTACAGACACACATGAGAATTCATACAAGCAAAAAAAAAACCTTGTAAATGTGATGTTTGTGGTAAATCATTTTCTTCAAGTTGACATCTACAGGCACACATGAGAATTCATACAAGCAAAAAAAAAAACCTTGTAAATGTGATGTTTGTGGTAAATCATTTTCGAGGCATACTACTCTACAAAACACCTGAAAATTCATATTAGAGAAAAATGTCAGAAGAAAATGTGAAAAGTCGCAATTAGAAATTGTATAAATGTCGAGTCTCCACCTGTAAATGTCGAGAGTCCCCACCACTTTAAATGTCAGGAGTCACCTGTAGAAGAAACCCTGTAAATGAGGATTGTGGGAATTCAATGATTGATGTTTTTATAAACTGTTAGGCCTGCTATATCTCAACCGTCCAACCATGAATATGCCCAAATGGACATCAAGATATGATGAATAATATTCAATTTTCCAAAATTATTTGACTGACTTAATCTACCTTAATTAGTTGACTTAATCGTTTGTCGGACAATTCATCAATGCAATCCGGAGCAGAAGCCATTGCTTCTCCTTTGTCGAACTATGTATCAATCGAATAAGAGTGATTATAAACTCAATCTACGTGATTAACTCGTGGTTTCTCTATTGTTGAACATTTTAATCTCCTCAATGTCAGCCTACAACATGTAAAAACTAGTCACATATGTCACATATCCTAACTTGTCTGCGATATCACTTTAAATAAAGCTTTTCCACACACACATATCCGATAAATAATAGACAATGCAAGCTCTGTTTCTGATCACACGTTTATAATACAATAACTGAAACAAAAGTAGAAATCTTAGAGACACATGAAATTAAGAAATGGAATCGTGACAATATCGACAAGACTGATATTGGCGAAAAGATTCTATTTTGATGGTATTTTCTCGGATTTATGATATTTTGAATGGGGTTTATGTTTTTATATGCCCCCATTGTCGTTGTCCTTGTCGGTCCTCCAGCATACACTCCAGAGACTGAAGTTAATATCCCATTGACTTAAAATGTATACACAGTGTTTATGGTCACCAGACAATGAAGCCTACTGATTTGCAGCAATTTCCAATAATTACTGTCAGGGTTATCAGGGCTGGCCACGAATAAATTGATGGCGAGCAGATGACTGCTCACGCAAATTTAGTTTTGGGCGAGCAAGGCGAGCAATAAAAATTGCTCACGCAAAATGTTGTTTGCGTGAGCACACATTTTGTTACATTGTTTCAATTTAAAATCATGAGAAAATTGCTATTCCTGGCACAGAGTTTGCAGTAAATATGTGTGACCATCGGTTTTTGTTTTTGACAGTCATACTCTTCTTTAAAACCAATTTTCGTATGGATTTCTAAAACCCCACGACATAAATGTGGATAGGACAATCGGGTTTCCTTTGGCCATTATTACGCTTCGATTGATAATTATACAACTGCTCAATGGAATAAAAAACGAAGTTCTGATAAAATAAGAAATACCGATAAATATTAGTTTGAAACGTGTTCATTTAGCGTGAATGCCAAATGCCGGATGTAAACATTCTTTACTTTAGACTCGATTATCACGTGTTTGTTACTGGTGTTCGTAGGAAAACCAGTCATGACGTTCAGGTCTAAAGTTTATTTTTAGTAACACAAGTTGCGAGTAACTTCATTAGCCAGTCAAATTTAAGGAGGAAATGTCGCGTGCAGCTGGGTGAATCTCAGTTTGACAGACGAATTTATGACATAATTGACATTGTTGGGTTTGTTTCGGCAATAAACTTGTCAATATTTTGATTATTTTTACAGGTTTTTCTTAAAATTTTGGCAAGCCCTGGTTATGATCCTTGATCAGTTTTAAAAATCTTGTAGAAGCTCTTCGGCTAAAGTTAATATCTGATTGACTTTAAACTTATACACAGTGTTTAAGGTCTTGAGAATCCTATTCATTTTCAACAATTTCCGGTAATTACTGCCATTACTGCCAGAGTTATCACCCTTGATCACATTGAAAAATCTTGTGGACGTTCTAGAGGCCAACGTTAATATAAATTGTTTCAGGTCATGAGACAAACAATCAAAACAAATTCTAATGTTTTCTGATAATTACTTCATGGTTACCAGATTTTCATGTGTTGTAAAGTTTCTTATTAAAAGCTGTCAAAGATTAAAAAATTTTTTGTGTGACACCTAAAGACCCCTATGGGCAAGCGAATTAGTGAAATAAAATTAAACCGTATGTTAGTCCTGAAATGACCTAGTTTGTGTGGAGTGGACGTTAAACCCCATTTCTCTCTCCCCTAATCTTCTGCACCAACTTGCTGCACCGACTTGCATAATGAATATGAGCATATGCCATACAGATAAATTTTGGAGCAAGAGAGAGAGATATGGGGTTTAACGTCCACTCAGAACATAACTAGGTCATTTCGGGACTAACATATGGTTCGATTTGATTGCAATAATTTGCTTGCTCGTAGGGGTCTTTTTGGCAGGGGGAGGAAACCAGAGGACCTGGAGAAAACCCATGAATGTAAGACAGGCGACCCTACTCCTACGTACAACCAGGGAATCGAAACCATGTCAGTTGACTCAATGAAAGACCTTATGATACAGCACGTATGCACTAACCATTCAGCCATTCAATCCCCAAATTTTAGAGTAGCCATTGCTCAGAAAGTAGGACACTGGCTCGTTAATCTGGTGGTTTGGTGTTAATCCTGATGTTAGCAGAGAAAAATTCTCAGGATTTTCTGCTGTGGTTTACCCTTGTCAGTGGTGTAGGACAGAGGACTCGACAAGGACAGCTGTGTAGTTGTTTGGATGGGATGTTTAATACACAAGGACAACTGTCTAGTTATTCAGATGGGATGTCTAAGACAGCTGTTTAGTTCTACGGGTGAGATGTTTACACTAAGACAGTGTGTAGTTGTTCGGGTCGGATGTTTACACTATCAGAACCCTTGATATGAAACTCAACAACAGATATCTATTGATCTGCAAAATGTCCTCATCAGAATGTTGGGGGGTTGGATGGCTGAATGGTTAGCATGCGCGTGCTGTATCATAAAGTCTGTCATTGAGTTGACTGGCGTGGTTTCGAATCCCCGGTTGTATGTGACAAGGAGTAGGGTCGCCTGTCCAACCTCGTGGGTTTTCTCCGGGTCCTCCGGTTTCCTCCCACTGCTAAAGACCCCTACGTGCTAGCGAATTATTGAAAAAAAATTAAACCATATGTTAGTCCTGAAATGACCTAGTTTGTGTCGAGTGGACGTTAAACCCCATTTCTTTCTTTCTTTATGACTAGATCAGCTACTCAGTATTCCACCCCACCCCACCCACTCAGTATTCCCACCCACATGGGGGGTGGGATGGGGTGGAATACTGAGTAGCTGATCTACATTGGGGGTTGGGATGGCCTAGTTGTCTAGAGTGCCGCGCTTCTATCTCTAGCTGGCCGGTCACCTCTGGCTTGCGACTGTGGTTTCGATCCCTGGTGTGAGTGTATGTGGCTTGGAGATAGGGGCGCCTTCTCAACCTTGTGGGTTTCCTCCGGTTTCCTCCCACAGGAAAGACCCCTGCGCGTACACTAAGATAATAATAAAAATAAAGACAACATGTCTGCGATATCGCCTTCAGTGGAAGCGGACGTTAAAACACTAAGAACAACAACCCACCCACATGGAAAAATTTTAATCCATAATTTCCCTTATAAAAATGCCAATTTGCATGCATAATTGAACCCCAATTTACATGGAGTGGTACTTACTACTGTCCTTTATTGGGGGCGTGGATGGCCGAATGGTTAGCACGTGCATGCTTTATCATAAGACCTGTCATTGAGTCAATTGGCGTGGTTTCGAATCCCCGGTTGTACGTGACAAGGAGTAGGGTCGCCTGTCCAACCTCGTGGGTTTTCTCCGGGTCCTCTGGTTTCCTCCCACTGCTAAAGACCCCTATGCGCAAGCGAATTATTGAAATAAAATTAAAAACCATGTTAGTCCCGAAATGACCTAGTCTGTGTCAAGTGGATGTTAAACCCCATTTCTCTCTCTCTCCTTTATTTTCTTTAAGTGTATGAGATAAATTTATGATAAAAAAATGAGTGTTTTTAGATTCAGATCCCATGGTTTGCATGACAAAAAGCTTATATTTGAGTAATTAAACACTACAGTCTTCATTGTGAAGTTGGTAAGATTTTAATAAGAACTACAAAATTAACAACAATAACAATTAATGATACAGATATGTAGGCTACATAAAAATCTTTAAAATGGCAATATTAAACCGAAACAATAAATCCCAATCGTGGTCAAGCACTTCAATCGATAAAACCTAAAAGCCAATATTTGATCAGCAAAATAGGTTTATTTTCCAGCACAAAAATAAACAACAACAGCGTGGTCTTACCCTTTGTTTATTGAACCCACGAACCTCGCCTCGAATCCCATTGCTAGGAACTTTGCGATGATATAACTCAATACGCCAACATAGAAATTTGGCATGTTCATACCTTATGCATCTGTCGATTTGTGAAATAAAGATCTTCAAAGTAATTGCTTGCGAAGTGAGCCTAACCTAATCCGATTCTCCCATATTGCGTGCACAGTGAGCCTACTGGCAAACCTGAATCCCCCATATTTTTAGTATGTTTACGGTAATATATCTCGAAAACCAACATAGGGGCTTCTGGTAGTTTATTTATCTCTGTGAAATAAAAAAAAAAAACATTTTGCCATCAAAGCTGGTTTGAGTGCTTTAATTATGATGCAAAATTGACCTACACTTTTTTGCTTGCCCAGTTAGCCTATTGTGCGATAGTTTAGTATGTTTAAGGTAATAGGTTTGTTTTTTTGTCTATAATATATAGGCTACCTTGCATTAATATGTCTTAAAATGTTATTTTCTAATATAAAGGTAACAATTATTTTCGTGATAATTATATATAGGTTTTTATTGGCGCTAGGAATATGTTTGATAACTTCATTTCGAATCCGGCTGCTGGAATACGTGTGAGAGATCCGCTCGGTAAAGGTACATGTAAACAATGCACGCGCCATAGATCCAATGATTGACTTCGCGTAATGTGACGTCACATGTTCAAAGTAGTCGGGGTTTTTTTTTCGGAGCTAATAGAAGACTTTCTTTCGTAATACCTGGGTGAAACAGATTGGAAAAGACCTGCTCGATTGGTTAGATCCAGTATTCTATTCAATATACAACCGGATCCGTGTTTAGCTTTTAGATGTTCATTTCCGTATCCGTGTTATACCGGAAATGAACCTCTGAAAAAACAAATGCACAACAAATAATACTGCATCATTGTATCATCTGGAGAATATCTTTCTCTAGGGTTAGGGTTCGGGTTAGGTTTATAAATTACATGTCAAACGTACAAATTGAAGCTGTAACAGCGGTGGATTGTGACTAAAACTATTCTGAAGGGTTAGGGTTAGAATTGTGGGTATAAACACTGGCAGATATTCTACAGATCGGTCAGGATCCAGTAGCGTGCATTTATAACCCCCAAACCCAAAACAAATCTTCCTAGCGGAACAGTTTACGAGACGATTGAACATTTACCTGGTTAACGGTTGCAGAATAATGGTAAGTATCGCCATAGTAAAATGTAACAGACATTGCCTGACTAGAGCGTAGCTGATGTGATTGTAATTGTTGTCAAATATAAAACCATCATAATTAAACATACACATTTGACATTATGTTTATGCAAATACGGGTAGGCCTATGACAACAAAAAATTCAACTATCCCGTATGGCTTTAATTCTGTTATTTCTGGATAGGGCTGTCCAACAATTATTATGGAGTTATGCCAAATTAATTGTCGCTAATTAACGCCCTTTCTGTTACTCCAGAGTGCCTCAAGGTTTCGTTCACACGTAACCTCAAGGTTCCTGAAGCTGTACTTATTTGGAGCAAACTGCGACTGAATTAATGGCCCATCAAATAGCCATGAGCTGAAAGGCGTCAGTCGATAAATTCTAAATGCATGTCCTACCTTATTGTGTGATCCATCTCTGAACAACAATGACACTTACTGACAAACAAACGTTCAGTGAAACGGGTTTATCCAATACACATACACCAACATATCTTTCTGTCTCAATGTTGGGATAGTTTGACCTTTTTTTGACGTCATATCCTCCGCATTAAAATTTGAGGATCCCTGTTTTACGCGAAACGAAATGCATTTTTGTACAATATTTTTATGGATTGCGTATATGTACTGTTTTTGTAGAGGTTTTATATCGGGATAGAAGACGATGTTTGTTGAAGAATAATTCGGTCGCTCTTCACACGTAGTTGAAAATACACAACGTCCATTGAGAACTTAATTATTTGTTGCATGATTAATTAGTATTAGTAGGCCTTGGATCATGACCAGTGCTTGAAATGAGGATTCTTCTACAATGGCACCAAAAATTTATAAATGCTGTAGCAAAAATTAGCTGACAAGGCACGGCTACCTTTCTTCATATTTAACAAATATACTGTTGTCATTTTCCGTCACTGAACGTGCAATTTTTATATTTGTAGTTAGACAAACGGTCCGTGCAATGGTTTTCTGTGTCAATTAATCTGGTTCTAATTGCGTTTGGTGGTACTGTCATAAGTATAAAATTTACAGATTCCTCTTGGAGTAATAAAGTCATCGAAATTTGTTTTCCTTTCGATCCTTTAGTTATTCGTATTCCCAATGGTTGCCATCATGTCAACCATAACTAAAATTGATTCATCAAATTTCCCACGGCTCTGCCATAACCTTCTATAATAAGGGCATTATTTTAGAAAGTGAGCATTCTTATGAAAAAATGAAGTATAAGGGTAGACTTGGGACAATATTTACAACTAAATCTTGCATTTCTGAATTATTGACCTAATCCCAAGCCCAGTCGCCCTGAACGACTGTATGATATATTGAAAAGTTATTACCTATGCATTTCATACGTCTACATGTATATAAAAGGCATAACTTTTTGATACGTGTGTACGTGGACAACGGCGCAATTTGGGCTATTTTTATTACCGTGGCAGTCCGTGTTTGCTTCAGCTTTTACTTTTTACGACAGTTTTGCAGTTATGCTGTGGTAAATTCTAGCATAGGCGATATGATTGAGATTATTATTTATAAAATGTTATTAAATGTTCATTACAATGTAAATCCTTAAATTTGTCGGCGTTCTGGTAAATTTGTGCTAATACATTTTATGGTTTCACTGACCCGTTGTTAGTTAAATTTAAATAGTCATTGAATAATCCCTGATAAAACACCAGATATCCCGAGAAACAGACATTAATAATATATATTTCTGTCAGGATCTCCTGATCTCCACGCTTTCCGATTACCGAGAACATGTGACAAGCATAATTGGAATTTAGATAATATACCAGCATGGCTAGATTTAGTTTTAAATAGGGTTTTAGTTTTATTCTTTTCTATTTTATACATGTTCTGACAGGGAATTATCCTTATGGCTATGGCATAGTCATACAGAATTTTTAATTAATATAAAGCAATTTCAATTATGGTTGTCACATGATCATTGTGCCGTTTTTCTTTCATCCACGAATGAATAAAAACTTTGAAAGTTACGTGATAGACAAAAACAATAATTTGTGTTTTAAATATGAAGAAATTCCATGGTGTCGTATCAGCTTATTTAGCTATTGCATTTTCTGATACTGGCTGCAGTAGAAAAATCCTAATTTTGATCGACTGATGATGTCCATTTATCCATCAAATAAACGAAGACAGTAATTTATTCAGGAATATTACTGACTTGAACTTTAAGTCATATATTAGCACATTCAGAACACGAAATTCTCCTAACAAATTACCAAAAATTATTTTTGTTGAAGTCTTGTTGTATAAATGTTAACGTTGGCGAACGTTAGCTTCTAATTATCCTATTTCATACCGGGGCTTCATTTGACTCAATTCTGGCCGGTTGGTTTCAAAATAGATTAAAATCTCTTTTCTTATCACAAATGCTAAAATAGCTCTCCTCAAAGAGATTCAGGACAGCTTTTTCAGGAGAGCTTTTTTTTACTCTAAGAATTTATTCACGTGAAGGCCTGTTAACCCCCATTCTAAACTAATGAAGTTATATCTTTTAAATATTACGATTGGGGTTGGATGGCTGAATGGTTAGCGTGTGTGCGCTGTATCATGAAGTCTGTCATTGAGTCGACTGGCGTGGTTTCGAATCCCCTGTTGTACGTGACAAGGAGTAGGGTCGCCTGTCCAACCTCGTGGGTTTTCTCTGGGTCCTCCGGTTTCATCCCACTGCTAAAGACCCCTATGCGCAAGCGAATTATTGAAATGAATATTAAACCATAGGTTAGTCCAGAAATGACCTAGTTTGTGTCGAGTGGATGTTAAACCTCATTTCTCTCTCTCTCTCTTTTAAATATTACAAAAAGGATACTAATGATGTTATAACTTTTATATATTACAGGAAACTAATGATGTTATAACTTTTATATATTACAGGAAACTAATGATGTTATAAATTTATATATTACAGGAAACTAATGATGTTATAACTTTTATATATTACAGGAAACTAATGATGTTATAAATTTATATATTACAGGAAACTAATGATGTTATAACTTTTATATATTACAGGAAACTAATGATGTTATAACATTTCATCAATGTACTGTGTGTGATGAGATTTTTCAAAAATATGCTGATTTAGAAAAACACAATAAAATACATGTTAAAGAAGAGAAAACTGATGATGTAGATGAATATTGTCATGTTCAATTTAAAGCAGAGAAAACTGATGATGTAGATGGATATTGTCATGTTAAAGAAGAGAAAACTGATGATATTGAAACTGTTTATCAGTGTAATTTATGTAATGAACAGTTTAATTTAGAATTTGATTTAGAAAAACACTGTGAAATAATACATGTTTCGAAAAATAATGAGACAAGTTCTCAGAGACAAACAGATAAAAAGACATCAAAAAAAACATACAAGTGCGGTGTTTGTATGAAATCATTCATAAAGAAGGGTAACTTACACAGGCACAAAAAGATTCATACTGGAAAGAAAGTAGGTAAAAAGACACCCAAAAAAACGTACAAATGTGATGTTTGTTTGAATTCATTCGTAAGGAAGAGTAATTTACAAAGGCACAGAATGATTCATACTGGCGAGAAACCCTTTATATGTGATTTTTGTAGCAAACGATTCTCAATGAACTGGTGTTTACAGAAACACAGGAGGGTTCATACAGGTGAAAAACCTTATAGATGTGATGTTTGTAGTAAATCATTTACAGATAACCGTACTCTAAAGAGACACATGAATATTCATACTAGAAAAAACCCTTATAAATGTGATGTTTGTGGTGAATCATTCACAAACAAAATCGGTCAACAGAAGCACATGAGAATTCATACTAAAAAAACACCTTATAAATGTAATGTTTGTAGTCAATCATTCACAGAGAAAAGTGATTTACAGCAACACATGAGAATTCATATTGGAGAAAAATCATATAAGTGTGATGTTTGTAGTAAATCATTTAGTCGTAGTCGTATTCTACAGTCACACATGAGAATTCATACTGGGATAAAACCTTATAAATGTGATGCTTGTTGGAAATCATTTAATACTAACAAAGCTCTAGAGACACACACACAAACTCATATTGCAGATAAGCCTTATAAATGCGATGTTTGTAATAAATCGTTTGCTAGAATTTATTGTCTACACAGACATGCAAGAATACATACGGGCGAAAGAGCTTTTAAATGCGATGTTTGTAGTAAATTATTCACAGCAAAGCGTGACTTAGAGAGACACATGAGAATACATACCGGCGAGAAACCTTATAAGTGTGATGTTTGTTGTAAATCATTTAATCAGCTTTGTAGTCTACAAAGGCACATTCAAATTCATACAGGAAAAAACCTTTTTGAATGTTATGTTTGTAGTAAATCGTTCCCGGAGAAGAGTGACCTAGAGTCACACCAGACAACTCATACAAGAGATAAACTTTATAAATGTGATGATGATAGTAAATCATTAAATCAAACTGCAGGGAAACCTTATAAATGTGATGATTGTAGTAAATCATTTTCTAAAAGTTATGACTTACACCGGCACATGAGAATTCATACTGGTTTAAAACCTTATAAATGTGATGTTTGTAGTAAATCATTCACACACCATGGAAGCCTACAGAAGCACACCAGAATTCACACTGGTGAAAAACCTTATAAGTGTGACGTCTGTGATAAATCCTTCATTCAAAATAGTCATCTTCAGATTCACATCAGAAATCATACTGGTTTAAAACCTTATAAATGTGATGTTTGTAGTAAATCATTTTCTAGACTTGGGGTTCTACAAGAACACACAAAAACACATACAGCAGAAAGACCTTTTAAATGCGATTTTTGTAGTAAATCATTCACAAACCGTTCGAACCTTAAAAAACATACAAGAACGCATACTGGCGAGAAACCTTATAAATGTGATGTTTGTAGTAAATCATTTGGACAGATCTGTGGTCTGCAAAGGCACAAGCAACTTCATTCTGGAGTAAAGCCTTATAAATGTGATGTTTGTAGTAAATCATTCAGACACAACAATAATCGAAACACACACATGAAAATTCATACAAGTGACAAACCTTATAAATGTGATGTTTGTAGTAAATCATTTACACAGAACAGTATTTTAACAATCCACAAAAGAATTCACACAGGTGAAAAGCCTTTTCAGTGTGATGTTTGTGGTAAATCATTTACTTTGTATAGTACTCTTCACGGTCACAAAAAAATCCATACAGGTGAAAAACTTTTTAAATGTGATGTTTGTGGTAAGTCATTTACCTTCAGTGCTACTCTACAAAAACACAAGAGAATTCATACTAGAGGAAAAACCCTTACTTACTAATGTCAGAAGAAATCCTGTAAATGTCAGTAGTCACTACCTGTGATGTCAGGAGTCACCACCTGTAGTAAATGTCGAGAGTCACCACCTGTAGTAAATGTCGAGAGTCACCACTTGTAAATGTCAGGAGTCACTACCTGTAAATGTCGAGAGTCTCCACCTGTAAATGTCAGGAGTCACTACCTGTAAATGTCGAGAGTCACCACCTGTAGTAAATGTCGGGAGTCACCACCTGTAAATGTCAGAGTTGCCACCTGTAAATGTCAAGAGGTACCACCTGTAAATGTCAGGAGTTACCACCTGTAAATGTCGAGAGTCACCACCTGTAAATGCCAGGAGTCACCAGAAGAAACTCTGTAATTGTCAAGTGTCACCAGAGAAAACTCTGTAAATAAGGACTGATTAAGATCAATTACTGATGTTATTTATGGCATTAAATCATTTACATATGTTCAATATAGGGTGGGGGGTTGGATGGCCCAAGGCTGGGATCGCAGTCCTTCACGTTTATAAAGCATGGTTTCGATACCCCGGTTGTACGTGACAAGGAGTAGGGTCGCCTGTCCAACCTTGTGGGTTTTCTCCAGGTCCTCTGGTTTCCTCCCACTGCTAAAGACCATATGTTAGTCCCAAAATGACCTAGTTTGTGTCGAGTGGACATTAAACCCCATTTCTCTCAGTGAAACGTTGCAGTTAATAAACCTAATGAATGTTATCAAGCAGTGAAACGTTGCAGTTAATAAACCTAATGAATGTTATCAAGCAGTGAAACGTTGCAGTTAATAAACCTAATGAATGTTATCAAGCAATGAAAGATGTCTGTTATTATATATATCGCTTTCACTAATTAGCATGCGCGCTGTATCATAAAGTCTGTCATTGAGGTGACTGGCGTGGTATCGAATCCCCGGTTGTACGTGACAAGGAGTAGGGTCGTCTGTCCAACCTCCTGGGTTTTCTCTGGGTCCTCTGGTTTCCTCCCACTGCTAAAGATCCCTATGCGCAAGCGAATTATTGAAATAAAATTAAACCATGTTAGTCCCGAAATGACCTAGTTTGTGTCGACATGCCTTTTGTTACAGAGCGCACATGCTAACCATTCGGCCATCCAACCCCCTATCGACTGAGACGGAGGAGTTCAAGTTAGATGACCACCCGTACTCGTTGAAAGGTGTGCACCAAGAACGCTCAGTATTTAGGAGTAGGGGGCTGGCTGTGGAGGAGACTGAAGAGGGGGGGGTAATGACCTGAATATATCAAGTTTACAGTGACGGGTCATGGTGAGGGCAACAGAGGCAAATGCCTCGGACCAGAGCCCCGAAGCGGCCCAGCAATTTTGCGATAAAAAAGTGTCCTTTTTTCGATGAGTTTTGAAATTATTAGGAAGGGGCATCGGTCATACAATAAATAGATATCATCGATTCCATTTTGAGTGGGTTTGTAGCAGGAAGTTGATATAAGAAATGTTTTCATAACCCGAAGAACGAAATATTATTTCTGGTTGACAGGTAGCGGTCTTGTAAATCCACGGACCATCATTTCAGCTCGAACCCCCCGCTAGGATGTCATCATGTCACTGGGGTCCGACAGCTATACTGCCTCGGGGCCCACTGACATCATGATCCATCACTGCAAGTTTATACCTTTTAATACGCCTACATTGAAATGTCGCCGTATATTGTCGTTGCCCCCATCCATCTGTCGGTCCGGCATCCACAATTCATGTCACTGGGGTCCGACAGCTATACTGCCTCGGGGCCCACTGACATCATGATCCATCACTGCAAGTTTATACCTTTTTATACGCCCACATTGAAATGTCGCCGTATATTGTCGTTGCCCCCATCCATCTGTCGGTCCGGCATCCACAATTCCTTGTGGACGCTCTAGAGGCTAAAGTTAATATCTGATTGACTTTAAATTTATACATAGTGTTTATGAGAAGAAGAAAAATTTATACATAGTGTTTATGAGAAGAAGAAGCCTATTGATTTTCAGTGATTTCCGATAATTACTGCTAGAGTTATGGCCCTTGTTCACTTTGAAAAATCTTGTGGATGCTCTAGTAACCAAAGTTATCATCCGATTGACTTTAGATTGATAAACAGAGTTTATGGTCTTGAGACGAACAAGTATATTGAACAGCTAAATCCCATGATATTAAAGGAGCTAAATCGCTAACATTTGGGACCTAGAAATTCACAAAAGTGGGTCGCAACGCATATAATACTGTAATATGAATGTATATAAACTGATTTACATTTAATGGTTTCCGTTTTTACTCCAATTTCAAATCAGTTATGTTCGGCGAAATAAGTCAGCAATCTCAATCGAGTGCAAATGTCTAGCGTCTAGTTATTCTAGTCTACATAACTCCATTTGATTTGGTGCAATGTGTCTAGCCTCGTCCCTCGAGTATCTCAATACAACTGGGGCTGAAGCGCATTATGGTACACGATTCGTGTACCAATGTTAAAAAAATTATTTTATCTTAAATATCGGATATCAGAGGCTCATCTTTTCCCGGTAAGTTTATATCATCAATGTTGATTTAAATTGACCAATAATTCGTGTTTTCGATGTCGAAGATTTGAGAGGATTTTGAGTTACGGACTTAGGTCCTTTAAAGTAGCCAAGTCTCTTACTCAATATCATCTCAAGTCTTGCATGTTGAAAACACAAATTATTTGTCAATTCAAATCAACATTGATGTTATCTTATCATGGACCTTATAATACATATAAGGTCCATGATCTTATCTTGAAAAGGTAGGCTTCTGATATCCAATATTTAAGACAAAATAAACTTTTTACCATTGGTACACGAATCCAATCTGTTTCACAGAGAATTACGAGTCTAGTGATATATCTCTGTCAAAGATGACTGCCTTAACACATGCCGTCACAGCACGCGGCGTGAATCATTGGCTGAATGGCGCGTGCATTGTTTACATAAGATGTTACTGCTTCGGAGAGAATGCTGCCTTTTAGTCATTTTAATATTCATTTACACTAAATAGGAAATAATTTTTACCTACAAATATGTCAAACACCTTTATTTATTTTTCAAATACATAAAAAAAATGTTTTAGAATTTAATTTGTCGCAGGAAAAAAGTTAATATTTCTGGCTCATTAAGTCACATCGATGTCATCCTTATCAGTGATTGTATCGGCCTAGCGAAAATTCACTGCTGATCAGTGTGACACGAATTTTGTACCATAGTGCGTTTCAGTGTCATTTGTAACAAGCCACCAGAAACAAAGAGGCTAGACATATTCCACGACCCATGGCAAACGACGATGCCATAACTTATCTGGAAAGCATGCGCAATATACTGGAATAACCAGACGCTAGAAATTTCTATTCGGTTGAGAATTATATACAATCAGATAACATTATTAAATGTGTTGAGACCCATTTAGGCCAATTTCTTGGTCCCAAATATTAGCGATTTAGCATCCAGTATTCGAACCGGGAACCACGGTGGCTAGGTGGTTAAGACGCTGGCTCGCTAGCCTGGAGGTCGGGTGTTCGATCCCTGCATTGGCCGAGAAAGTTCATCGGGATTTTCCGACGTGGTTTCACCTTGTCAGTGGTGCAGGATTGAGGGCCTGACAAGGACAGCTGTCTAGCCCTTCGGATGATACGAAAAACCAAGGTCCCATATATATATTGGAATGCTCGTAAAAGATCTCTTGGCAGTTGGAATTCAATATAAGAGTAGGTGATAGTGCCGCTGCCCGGGCAAAATTTCCCTCATAGCACACTGTATGGCGTATGACTGTCTTCATTAGCCCAGGTTAGAAGCAGAACAGTAGGACGTTAAACCCCATTTCATTTCATTTCATTTCATTTCACCATCTGAAGAACTATACTATGGATTAAGCAGGATAAACAACTGACGTTCAACAAGACTGTTCACGTATTTCACAGAACATTGTGTAATATACTTTCATTTGTGCTTTTAAACCTGTTTTCGTCTATTTTACGGTACATTAGGATAGAGCCATATAAGAACGACAGTGACGTTAAGTGGTGGTATTATGGTTAAGATATGGGTTTACGGTCAAAGGGTGGGATTACTTTTAAGGGATGGGATTACAGTTAAGGGATGGAATTACGGTTAAAGCATATGATTAGGTTAAGGGGTGGGATTACTGTTAACAGATTACGCGGGATTACTTTTAAGGGGTGGGATTACGTTTAAGGGGTTGGATAATGGTTAAGGGGTGGAATTACAGTTAAAGCGTTGGATTCGGTTAATGAACGAATTACGGTTAAGGAGTGGGATTACTGTTAAGGGGGGATTACGGTTAAGGAGCGGGATTACTGTTAACGGACAGATTATGGTCAAGGGGCAGGATTACTTTTAAGGGGTTGGATAATGTTTAAGGGGTGGGATAATGGTTAAGGGGTGGAATTACGGTTAAAGCACTGGATTAGGTTAATGGATGGATTACTGTTAAGGGGTCAGATTATTGGTTAAGGGAAAGGATCATGGTCAAACCAACAGAATACTGAAGAAACAAGCTATGGTGTAAAATATATTATAAACAAGAGCATCGCTAACGCAGCAATATACGTCCACATTCCTGTTTTGTTTAATATGGTCCAGTTTGCTTTGAGGGTCTGTGAAATAAAACTGGGTTGTAGGACTGCTATCAGTTTAACACTTCGTTCACATTAACAGAACACAATTTTTATTTTAAAACTATCGATGTCTTTATTCTAAAAGCATGACGTTTCGAATAGGTATGCAAAGTTTCAAAAGGATCTGTTAAGAATTGCGGTCTGTAGGCAAAACACAAGACACACTAACATTAGGCGTGGCTCTGTCCCATGGGGTCGAGCATGCAACAAAAATAATAATAGAGGTCGGCCTTAGGATTAAGGAATAAGTATAAAAAGTAGCCTTAGGCTATAAGGAATAAGTATAAAAAAGTTTTCAAGATGATCGATTAAGAAATGCGGTCTGCAAGTGACACACAGACATAAAAAAAGAAAATGGGCGTAGCTCTGCCCCTGGGGGTTGGGTATTCACCACAAATAATAGGGATGTTCCTTAGGATAGAAGGAATATGTATGCTAGGTTTCAAGGTGATACGATAAGAAATGCGATCTGTAGATGACAAACAAATAAATAAATATAAGGGATGGGCGTGGCTCTGCCCCTTGCGGTTGGGCATGCACCAAAAACAATAGGGATCATCGTTAGGGTATAAGCAATTCATATGAAATTTTTTCAAGACGATTGATTAAGAATTGTGGCCTATAGGCGACACACAGACATAAAAAGAAAGGAAAATGGGCGTGGCTCTGCCCCTGGGGTCGGGCATGCACCCCAAACAATAGGGATGTTCCTAGGGGTACAAAGAATAAGTATGCATAGTTTCAAGATGATACGTTAAGAAATGCGGTCTGTAGATGGCAAACAAATAAATAAATATAAGGAATGGGCGTGGCTCTGCCCCTGGGGGTCGGGCATGCACCAAAAACAATAGGGATCATACTTAGGGTATAAGCAATTCATATGAAAAATTTTCAAGACGATTAAGAATTGTGGCCTATAAGCGACACACAGACATACAAAGAAAAGAAAATGGGTGTGGCTCTGCCCCTTGGGGTCGGGCATGCACCCCAAACGATAGGGATGTTCCTTAGGGTACAAAGAATGTGTATGCAAGATTATAAGTTAAGAAATGTGGCCTGTAGACGACAAACAAACAAATACTAGAAATGGGCGTGGCTCTGCCCCTGGGGGTCGGGCATGCACCAAAAACAATAGGGATCTTCCTTGGGGTATAAGGAATAAGTATACCAAGTTTGAAGAAAATCCAGTAAGAATTGCGCCCTGTAGGCGACACAAAGACACACGAAAAGAAAATGGGAAATGGGCGTGGCTCTGCCCCTGGGGGTTGGGCATGTACCCCAAACGATAGGGATGTTCCTTAGGGTACAAAGAATGTGTATGCAAGATTATAAGTTAAGAAATGTGGCCTGTAGACGACAAACAAACAAATACTAGAAATGGGCGTGGCTCTGCCCCTGGGGGTCGGGCATGCACCAAAAACAATAGGGATCTTCCTTGGGGTATAAGGAATAAGTATACCAAGTTTGAAGAAAATCCAGTAAGAATTGCGCCCTGTAGGCGACACAAAGACACACGAAAAGAAAATGGGCGTGGCTCTGCCCCTGGGGGTTGGGCATGCACCCCAAACGATAGGGATGTTCCTTAGGGTACAAAGAATGTGTATGCAAAGTTTCAAGATTATTAGTTAAGAAATGTGGCCTGTAGACGACAAACAAACAAATACTAGAAATGGGCGTGGCTCTGCCCCGGGGGGTCGGGCATGCACCAAAAACAATAGGGATCTTCCTTGGGGTATAAGGAATAAGTATACCAAGTTTGAAGAAAATCCATGAAGAATTGCGCCCTGTAGGCGAACCACAGACACACACACACACACACATACATACATACACACACACACACACACACACAGACAGGGGCGACGGCATAATACGTTCACATTATGAATGTGGACGTATAAAAATAACTAACAGGCTTTATCTTTGTTATCCAGTTTTATCTGTCATTCCACCCCCCCCCCCCTATATCTTTGTTATCCAATTTTATCTGTCATTCCACCACCCAACCCCCCTAGATCGTAAGTACAGTATAAAGGTGAATATGTCTCTTTTTCATGGGGGGGTGGATGGCTGAATGGTTAGCGTGCGCGCGCTGTATCATAAAGTCTGTCATTGAGTCGACTGGCGTGGTTTCGAATCCCCGGGTGTATGTGACAAGGAGTAGGGTCGCCTGTCCAACCTCGTGGGTTTTCTCCAGGTCCTCCGGTTTCCACCACTGCTAAAGACCCCTACGCGCAAGCGAATTATTGAAATAAAATTTTAAAAAAACCAAAAAAAACCATATGTTAGTCTCGAAATGACCTAGTTTGTGTCGAGTGGACGTTAAACCCCATTTCTCTCTCTATCTCTCTTTTTATGGTTATTTTAGTTAATCTCATCTTGCATAAACCCATAATATCCTTCTTCATTAGGTACAACCAAATATACATTAGTTTAAACGAATTGTTAAATTGTACCCACCTCTTGTGTACTAAACAGTTTACACAAATAATTACGTTTATAACACACAGATTACACCCCCACCCACCCACCCAGTTAAATCATATTACGTTTATAACATACAGGTTACACCCCCACCCACCCACCCAGTTAAATCATATTACGTTTATAACATACAGGTTACACCCTCACCCACCCACCCAGTTAAATCATATTACGTTTATAACATACAGGTTACACCCCCACTCACCCACCCAGTTAAATCATATTACGTTTATAACACACAGATTACACCCCCACCCACCCACCCAGTTAAATCATATTACGTTTATAACATACAGGTTACACCCCCACCCAGTTAAATCATATTACGTTTATAACATACAGGTTACACCCCACACCCACCCACCCAGTTAAATCATATTACGTTTTAAAACATACCGGTTACACTCCCACCCAGTTAAATCATATTACGTTTATAACATACAGATTACACCCCCCCCCCCCCCCCCCCCGGTTAAATCATATTACATTTATAACACACAGATTACACCCCCACCCACCCACCCAGTTAAATCATATTACGTTTTAAAACATACCGGTTACACCCCTCCCATAAATCATATTACGTTAATAACACAAAGGTTAGACCCCTCTGTGAGTGAAGTAGAAGGTTCTCATTCAGTAGTGTGGTGATCTTTAAGTGGTTTATAAATATTACAGAGTACATTTTTTCATTTTTAAACTCAATGATCTTCCCCAAATCAAATCTTTATTGACAGATAAATTTATTGACAAATATCTTCAAGGAATTCTGGAAAAATGTCCATCACAAAATTTTTAAACTTTATCTTTTACCCAAACACATCCCTGAAATAGACAGAAATAGAGAAATGGGGTTTAACGTCCTACTGTTCTGCTCCAAACTGGGCTAATCAAGACAGGCCAACGTAATACAGTGTGCTATGAGGGAAATTTTGCCCGGGCAGCAGCACTACGATCTACTCCTATATCAAATTCCAACTGCCAAGGGATCTTTTACGTGCACGCCAATGTATACATGGGACCTCTGTCATTCATCTCATTCGAGCGACTACACGTCTGTCCTTGTCGGGCCCTCTTGTCCTGCACCACTGACAAGGAGAAACATGTCAGAAACTTTCTTGGCCAATGTAGGTATCAAACACATGACCTCCAGGCTAGCCAACATGGGTCCAACGACTCGACGGTGTCGCATCTCTCAAGTTCTAATTTTTCACGCATGGTTAAAAGCTAGACCTATTTCACAGGGCAACCTGCAGATTTCCTCAAGATCTTGAAGAAATCTGCAGAGACAAAAAACCGTCTAAATTCGATGATAATCTTCTAAATAACGCCCAGGTAAAATTTACTGTTCGCTTTTAATTCATGAAGCACGTGGATCATGCACTGACAAGTGTCGTTATATCAGTTACTTGGATTGGTTAGATCCAGTACTGTATTCAATACACAACCGGATACGCACATTTCTCTCAGCGAATTTCATTTCCGTATCCGCTTGCACCGGAAATAAACTTCTGAATAAAAAAACAATTGTTTCTCTTCGTTTTCTTTCTTAGAAATCGCCATTCTGTAGAAATTGACGTTAAAACGCAACAAAAACAGTATACCTGACGATTAACCATTTACTTGGTCAACTGTAGCAGAACTTTATAGAATAATTATGGTAAGTCTTGGAATGATAATAAATATAGGGAGCACACTGATCAGCAGTGAATATTCGTTAGGCCACTACAATCACTGAAACTTAAGTGAAAGGGATGATATCGCTGCGGCTTAATTAGCTCGCAATAATATGTAACAGGCATTGCCTGAGTAGAGCGAAGCTGATTATTGTCAAATATAAAACCTTCATAATTAATTTTCTCAAGTGATACAAAATGTTGAATAATTTAGAATTTCAAAATTGATTTTTATTTAGATCTAAATTTTATACATTTTACGCAGTGTATATTTTGCCGTCCGACGGTTCTTTACTTTATTTACTATATTAACATTTTCCTTCTGAAATTTATTTCTAGAATATTTTTTTTAAAGTATTGGAAAAATAATTAAAGTTGTGTGGAGTATATTTAGATAAAAAAAAATATATAATGGTTACCGGTATATAAAATCAGGAAAAGGCGCCACTCTGCGGGGGATCCTTATCGAATTGCTACTGTTCGCAAGGTAACGGTTTTTTCCGGTGGAGCACAGTGAATCGCTTTCATGCAGATATCGTCACGATTCTAGCCAATCTGTTTCACTTTTTCTAATATCGCTAGCGTTTGCAAGAAAACATTGTTTTTTTTCCCGGTGGAACACAGTGAATCGCTTTCATGCCGATATCGTCACGACTGTCAAAGATGACTGCCTTCAACACATGACGTCACAGCACGGGGCGCTAATCATTGGCTTAATTGCCCGTGCATTGTTTACATAGGACGTTACTGAATCGAAAGAATTCTGCCTTTTACTCAATTTAATACGCATTTACATTAAATAGGAAATAATTTTTACCTACAAATAATTAAAACGTCTTTATTTATTTTTCTAATAACCTGGTACATAAAAAAATGTTTTAGAATTTCATTTGTCTGTGGAAAAAAGTTAATATTTGTGGTTCATTGAGTCGCATCAATGTCATCCTTATCAGTGATTGTAGCAGCCTAGCGAATATTCACTGCTGATCAGTGTGGATTTTAGCATGTTGAAGTAGGTGTGTCACAGCTCCATTGCCCGCGTTGGAAGAAAGTCATTTTTTCCCGATTTGTAACCCCTTTTCAACTTAACGTCATACGGTGGTTATTTAATATTTTGTAATAATTTTAAAATATTTTGGAAGCCGATATCCTGTTCTTTTGCTTGGTATACTTTTTATATATGTGTTCATTTTATTAATTTCATAAACGTAAGTTGAAAAACGTCAATTTCCCGTGTTTTGACGTTACGCTGAAAATTTTTGTCACGTTTTGAAATGAGGGTACCCCACTTCAAGTGCTCGGCGGCGGTTCCTATTTTTAATATTATTTTTTCATTTTAATATCATTAGAAAGGTAATTGAACGATCTTTCGATCGGTCGGGGGTGCTTTGTCGGCATTTCGAAATACCATGCCTTATTTGTCAATATAGCACCCCCGACCGATCGAAAGTTCGTTTTATTGCCGTTTCAATGCTATTAAAATCAACAAAATCGTGGCATTTTAAGAACTGCCGCCGAGTATTTGAAAATTGTATACAATGGGCAATTTTGTCAAAAATAAATCGCGTAGTTTTGCCTTGTTACGACGTCATTTCTAAACGAGAAGAAAAATCCATTCCAAGTTCCTGTGACTCATATTCGCCGTTAAATTAGCTTGAAATGTAACTCGATGTTTATTTATGAAGAAATTGTTATGTTATATGAATAAATGACTTGCCTGAAAATAAATAACGATAGTAATTCCATTTTATTCACGCCTTTCGCAGGGTCGACTGTGTTTACATCACGTGACTCATCTTCGCGCGCTTTTATAACCATGTGACAGGACATAAAAAAAATCGAAGGGAAATTTCATCCCAGCGACCACACGTCTCTACTTTTAACACCAAACATTTTTCAAGAATTGACGAATGTTTCAATGCACTGAAATCATAAATTCGCTGTTCACTGAATTATTCAAGCCCTATTTTAAACCATTTCTGTGCACACGAATGGAAATGAAACCAGAAAGTATCCACACGGGTCTCGGTGCCGACCGCAGCCATGAGGAAAATAGTATAGTACTACTGATAATTAGTACATCGATTTCTACCCACTTAAAAAGGGAACTTTACCCAAATAAAGTTGGAATAACAAAAGAATTAATGCTAGCTGAAATAGTCTGAAAAATGGCTCAATTTCTGGATTTGCCGTTGGCGATTTACAACATTTCGTTTGAGATGATCGAACCGACATAGATTATGAATTTCAATTACTATTAGGTCAGTCATGTCGACAATATTACTAATAAATTTACTATCACTCAGTATCGATACGGATACCCAATTTTCGCAAAACGTTTTATTAAATAATTTAGCATTATATAACAGTTGTCATACTAATTATTATAATTTTAATTCTTTGTTTTTTTAGGAAACTATATTTAACACCTCGAGTATCACATATTATTTGTTGGCCAGTTAAACAAGTTGAAAGAACCGACAAACGTAAGGCCTTTAGGCCTGGATTTGATATTTATTTACAATACATTGATTAAAATATACAAAAAAGGAAGTTGCTCAATAGGCTACATACCAATTTGAAGGAATAATAGAAATATACTAAAGTGAAGTAAAAACAACAATTCTCTGAGTTAAATTGTAGCTTTTACTTTAGGCCTAGGCCTTTATAAACATGACTAGGCCTACCATAGCCTATCAGTAACTGAGTGACCTACTTTTACTCTTTAGTTTTTAGAGAATAATTTTTTATTGGTCAATGTTATCTTCTGAGTAGAAAATAATATGTAAAAGCAGAATTCTAACAATAATGTAAGAAACGAATGCTGAGAACAATGATAATGAAACAACAGTTGTCCGTTTTTTAAAATTATGTGGTTGCTATGACAACCATCCAAAATCCTTAATAATTCACTAAAATTATACAATTCTTAATATTTTATATTACATGCCATGGGCTATAAATATATGCTAAAATGCTTTCTGCTACTATACTTAAAATGTGGTGATCAATTGGTTTGTCAGGGTAAACACCATTGAAAATGGAATAACATTGCCTTTTTTGGGGTGTCTGTTTTCGTTTTGATTGCTATAACAACCAAATATTAAGTAATATACAAGAGTAAAGATAAGTAATTTTAAAAATTCACAAACATAAATACATGGAAACAAAATTTCTCTTCAAGATCTTAATTCCTTCATATTTTATTTATGTCTTAATAATGTCCAAAATAGACAATTAGCTGCTGCAGAATGTTCTTCAAGTTAGAATGGGAACTCCTTTCCAGCTCTTGGGAGAAGACATATAAATATTCTGATTTTATTTATTTTTTAAAATCTTATCCAATAGCTTCTGTTTTTAAAATAATACAGTTATCAATATTAATGTCATGATTATTGGAAAATAATGGTTTTCGGGAAAAAAATAAATGTGGTTGCTATGGTAACAGCCCAAACTCCTTCATATTTTTTCTCAAACTTACACAATCCATATCATTTGATATTACATGGGTTTCAAATATATTAAACTCCTTACTTTAAAATGTGGTATGACGTTTTGGGTTATGGTAAATAGCGTTGAAAATGGTCAAAAATTGCATTTTTCCCCATTTTGGTTGCTATGACAACCAAAATTGATAATATATGGCAGATTGGAAATAAGTAATTTTAAAAATTCACAAACTTTTTGACATATTCCCATAATTTCACTTGTGTATCTCCATTCCTTCTTATTTTATTAATGTTCCAAAAACGCCCCAAAAATAGGCAATTGTGTGCCGCGGAAAATTGTTCGAAAATGAACATATATCCAGCTCTTGAGAGAAGGCATATATATATTTTTACTCTTTTTTTTTGTTAATCATACTTGATAGCTACTGATTATAAATTACATAACAACCAGGTTCAATATTTCAGATATAACATGCACAAGACCATTTTTGATGAAAAAATTGACCAAAATCGCTCTGACAAAATGGAATTTTGGAGAAAACCTATGTATTTTGCAGTTGCTGTGGAAATCAGTGTAATTATTACAAAAATGTGAAAATTGAAACATAATTAGGCTTACAGTTGTATTTCATGAATTTACATCTTTATTTTTGATAGGTTTGATATGAAAAGAAATATGGCATCACAAAAAACACCAAAAATGGCTTTTTTGAAAGTGTTGAAAAACCTTTCTTCCGCGAAAAGTCAAAAATCGCAACTTTGAGCCTCAATAAAAAAAATTTTTTTATCCGATTTTGAATCTGTAAAAAGTTTTGTGAGAAGAATGATGAGATCTACTTGAAAAGCTAATAAAATCAAATGTATAATCATAATCTCAAAATCACCTTTTCCACCTAGTTGAAGAAAAATGAACTTTAAATTGAATACAGGGTCAAATTAAAATTGTCTACAGTAAATTTTAATGCTGCCGTAAAAATGTGTACAGGAAGCTAATGATGTTGTAACTTTTATATATTACAGGCAACTAGTGATGTTATATCTTTTATATATTACAGGAAGCTAATGATGTTGTAACTTTTATATATTACAGGAAACTAATGATGTTATAACTTTTATATAGTACAGGAAACTAATGATGTTATAACTTTTATATATTACAGGAAACTAATGATGTAATAACTTTTATATATTACAGGAAACTAATGATGTTATAACTTTTATATATTACAGGAAACTAATGATGTTAAAACTTTTCATCAGTGTGTTATATGTGATGAGATATTTCAAAAATATGCTGATTTAGAAAATCACAATAAAATACATGTTAAAGAAGAGAAAATTGATGATGTAGATGAATATTGTCATGTTCATTTTAATGAAGAGAAAACTGATGATGTAGATGGATATCGTCATGTTAAAGAAGAGAAAACTGATGATGCAGATGAATATTGTCATGTTAAAGAAGAGAAAATGGATGATATTGAAACTGTTTATCAGTGTAATTTATGTGATGAAGAATTTAAATCTGACATTGATTTAGAAAAACACTGTGAAATACATGTTAAAGATGAGAACATGGAACAGATTTCACAAAATAATGAGACAAGTTCTCAGAGACAAACAGACATAAATACATTTGAAAAACCTTATAAATGTGATGTTTGTGGTAAATCATTTTCTAGGTATAGTATTCTACAAGAACACATCGGAAATCATTCTGGCCAAAAACCCTTTACATGTGATGTTTGTAGTAAATCATTCACAACAAATTGGTACTTACAGAATCACATGAGAATTCACACAGGTGAAAAACCCTATAAATGTGATGTTTGTAGTAAATCATTCACTCATAGTAGTACTCTACAGAAACACACCAGGACTCATACAGGTGAAAGACTTTTTAAATGCAATGTTTGTGGTAAATCATTTGCTAGACTTGATGTTCTACACAGACATACAAGAACACATACCGGAACTCATACGGATGAAACACCTTATAAATGTGATGTTTGTGATAAATCATTTACCATGAAGGATGTTCTACACAACCACAAAAAAATTCATTCAGGTGTAAAACCATTTAATTGTGATTTCTGTGATAAATCATTTATACACAACAGTAAACTACAGAGACACATCAGAACTCACACAGGTGAAAAACCTTATAAATGTGATGTTTGTAATAAATCATTTAGTCGGCTTGAGAACCTAAAATTACACATCGATAATTCACGCTGGAGTAAAACCGCTTGTATCCCGGGGACGACATAATTTTATGGGTTTTAGGTGAGAGAGAGAGAGAGAAATGGGGTTTAACGTCCACTCGACACAAACTAGGTCATTTCGGGACTAACATATGGTTCAATTTTATTTCCATAATTCGCTTGCGCGTAGGGGTCTTTAGCAGTGGGAGGAAACGGGAGGACCCGGAGAAAACCCACGAGGTTGGACAGGCGACTGGGTTTTAGGTACCCACTACTTTTGACTGAACAAGACCCGACAAATAAATTGTGTTGACACTCTGCAAATAATAAAATAAATGCTTAAAATTCATATTACACGGAAACTTCGCAAGTGAAACCATATTTGTTTGCAAGAGTTACCCCTCTTTAGTCTTGGTTAGCATGCCAACACTGACATTGCTTTAATCTATTTCACAGAAATATTGCAACGCGAAAGCCATCTTCTACATATGTACCTCTGTACAAGATAACTCGTCACCTCATATCACAAGGGCCGGAAGTCGCATGCATTGTTTCATATCACAAGGCATCAATCATTGGCCGGAAGTCGCATGCATTGTTTACATAAGATGTTATAGGTTAGTTCTATGTCACAAGGCCAACTTCAAGTTTGGTCATGGGAGGTTGGATGGCTGAATGGTTAGCATGTGTGCGCTGTATCATACGGTCTGTTATTGAGTCAACTGACGGGGTTTCGATTCCCCGGTTGTACGTGGCAAGGAGTAGGGTCGCCTGTCCAACCTCGTGGGTTTTCTCCGGGTCCTCCGGTTTCCTCCCACTGCTAAAGACACCAATGTGCAAGCGAATTATTGAAATAAAATTAAACCATATGTTAGTCCTGAAACGACCTAGTTTGTGTCGAGTGGATGTTAAACCCCATTTCTCTCTATCTCTTTATTCTACTTGTGACCTCACATCACAAGGCATCCATCATTGGCCGGAAGTCGCATGCATTGTTTCATATCACAAGGCAAAGGTCACGAGATGTAAACCACATGAAAACCGGGCTAACCCTAAGCCTTGATCTAGCCCCCACGTAACCCTAACCTACAATCTCACCATCAATCACATGCCCTAACCTTACAGTACTAGTCAGGCGGAAGTATGAAATTAGTCCTTGTGGGTGTTTTTTCAACTCAAACATCGCAGTGTTTTTTTCCATATATACGTGTATTTACATCTCAGCGACCTTGACAAAATCTTGACTTGGCCTTAAGAAATAGATGTAGCTAAATTGTAGTGAAAATTGGTCTGGGCACCATGGCACCTTTTATTCATTTTATACCATTTTATCCAGATATACTTCAAACATCTTTGTTTATTTTTCTAATACTTCAAAAAAATGTTCTAGAATTTAATTTACAGAAGGAATAAGATTAATATTATGAGCTCATTAAGCTGCACCAATGTCATCAATTATCGATCATTGTAACGCACACTGATCAGCAGTGAATATTCACTCGGTTGCTACAATCACTGATAGGGTTGTACATGACAAGGAGTAGGGTCGCCTGTCAAACCTTGTGGGTTTTTTCTAGGTCCTATTTCCTCCCACGTGTAAACGAATTATTGAAATGAAATTGAACCATATGTTAGTCTCGAAATGGCCAAGTTTGTGTCATGCGGGCATTAAATCCCATGTATGATGTTTATTATTGTATTGTACTTTGTATTATTTGATGTTTATTATTGTATTGTAATTTGTATTTTATGATGTTTATTATTGTAATTTGTATTGTATGATGTTTATTATTGTAATTTGTATTGTTTGTGGTAAATCATTTGCTAGACTTGATGTTCTACACAGACATACAAGAACACATACCGGAACTCATACGGATGAAAAACTTTATAAATGTGATGTTTGTGATAAATCATTTACCATGAAGGATGTTCTACACAACCACAAAAAAATTCATACAGGTGAAAATCCATTTAAGTGTGATTTCTGTGATAAATCATTTATACACAACAGTAAACTACAGAGACACATCAGAACTCACACAGGTGAAAAACCTTATAAATGTGATGTTTGTAATAAATCATTTAGTCGGCTTGAGAACCTAAAATTACACATCGATAATTCACGCTGGAGTAAAACTGCTTGTATCCTGGGGACGACATAGTTTTATGGGTTTTAGGTGAGAGAGAGAGAGAAATGGGGTTTAACGTCCACTCGACACAAACTAGGTCATTTCGGGATTAACATATGGTTCAATTTTATTTCCATAATTCGCTTGCGCGTAGGGGTCTTTAGCAGTGGGAGGACCCGGAGAAAACCCACGAGGTTGGACAGGCGACTGGATTTTAGGTACCCACTACTTTTGACTGAACAAGACCTGACAAATAAATTGTGTTGACACGCTGCAAATAATAAAATAAATGCTTAAAACTTCTATTACACGGAAACTTCGCAAGAGAGACCATATTTGTTTGCAAGAGTTACCCCTCTTTAGTCTTGGTTAGCATGCCAACACTGACATTGCTGTAATCTATTTCACAGAAATATTGCAACGCGAAAGCCAACTTCTACATATGTACCTCTGTACAAGATAACTCATCACCTCATATCACAAGGGCCGGAAGTCGCATGCATTGTTTCATATCACAAGGCATCAATCATTGGCCGGAAGTCGCATGCATTGTTTCATATCACAAGCTATCCATCATTGGCCGGAAGTCGCGTGCATTGTTTCATATCACAAGGCATCCATCATTGGCCGGAAGTCGCATGCATGTTATATAGGTTAGTTCTATTTCACAAGGCCAACTTTAAGTTAGGTCAAAGGTCACGAGATGTAAACCAAATGAAAACAGGGCTAACCTTAACCCTTGACCTACCCCCCCCCCCCCGCTTAATGTAACCCTAACCTACAATCTCACCATCAATCACATGACCTAACCTTACAGTACTAGTCTGGCGGAAGAATGAAATTAGTCCTTGTGGGTGCTTTTTCGGCTCAAAAATCGCAGTGTTTTTTCCATATATACTTGTATTTACATCTCAGCGACCTTGACGAAATCTTGAGTTGGCCTTAAGAAATAGATGTAGCTAAATTGTAGTGAAAATTGGTCTGGGCACAATGGCACCTTTTATTCATTTTATACCATTTTATCCAGATATACTTCAAACATCTTTGTTTATTTTTCTAATACTTCAAAAAAATGTTCTAGAATTTAATTTACAGAAGGAATAAGATTAATATTATGAGCTCATTAAGCTGCACCAATGTCATCAATTATCGATCATTGTAACGCACACTGATCAGCAGTGAATATTCGCTCGGTTGCTACAATCACTGATAGGGTTGTACGTGACAAGGAGTAGGGTCGCCTGTCCAACCTTGTGGGGTTTTTCTGGGTCCTATTTCCTCCCACTGCTAAAGACCCTGACGTGTAAACGAGTTATTGAAATGAAATTGAACCATATGTTAGTCTCGAAATGGCCAAGTTTGTGTCAAGCGGACATTAAATCCCATGTATGATGTTTATTATTGTATTGTACTTTGTATTATTTGATGTTTATTATTGTATTGTAATTTGTATTTTATGATGTTTATTATTGTAATTTGTATTGTATGATGTTTATTGTTGTAATTTGTATTGTATGATGTTTATTATTATATTGAACTTTGTATTGTATGATGTTTGTTATTGTATTGTACTTTGTATTATTTGATGTTTATTATTGTATTGTAATTTGTATTTTATGATGTTTATTATTGTAATTTGTATTGTATGATGTTTATTATTATATTGTAATTTGTATTGTATGCTTTACCATACTCATGTATATACCATGTAGTTGTGTAATAAAGCATTATTATTATTATTATATTATTATTATTATTATTATTATTATTATTATATTATTATTATTATTATTATTATTATAATATTATGTATTATTTAGATAAAGAGCTGACCATTCTTCCTATAATAGCTCAAAAATATATAATGTAAAACGAAAATATTAAAATTTTTATTCAAATTACTTCATTCTGAGCCAATTTATCACTGTAGTTTTGACAAAATGTGTGCATTATGGTACCCAGGGCACTGGTATATTCAAGATTAGCCTCGCTTTCCCATTTTTAAATTAGAGTAGTGAACTTGTGACCCCAATTATTTAATTCCAACCGTTTCTCACCTTTGTATTATTATATCGACTGAAAGAGAATTGGTTTCAGGCGAGTTACCCTTGAATGAGATATCGGATTCAGACCACATGGTTGTAACAGACTTTAGACATTACACTTAGTCATATAGCTTAGGCCTAATGTTATTTTTAAAATATTTTTCACATTACAGGCGCCTGTGGATTAGGGAGATAATCTGTGGTTCCGTGAAAGAATTTAAGACCATATGTTTCGGAGATTTATACACGGATTCTGTCTATCCTAAAATAAAGAAAAAAATAATATTCCCATATTAACTTCTGGTACTGGCACTACTGGTCGGTAAACCTTTTACCAATATGGAAATAGTTATAAGTTCCAATTTTAAGCAATATAAGTAGGAGGATATTTTCACACGAAAAAACACATAACAGCCTATAAGTTTCTGTGACTAAATACGGCCAGGCTAAGTCTATTTAACAAGGCCGTCTACAGATTTCCTCAAGGTCACGGGATATGTAAACAGGGTATGGGCCAGGGGCAGATCCAGAGGAAGGGTTTGGGGCGTCGAAACCCCCCCCCCCACACCTGCTCAGCTGCATAAAATTTTTTGGGAAATCAACACTTTTTATGAGAAAAGTTTCTCGGCCGTGTGCTTCATCCTTTATCGTCAGATGTGGGACAGGATGGGCACTCAAAGCACAAGATAAAGACATAGACATTATGTGAATCACAATTAATGCTTTGCATCCATGAAATTGAATCACAATGTCATTGTATTAACTCATAATAAAAACTGACGTCAAACGAGGTGTTGAATTTCTCTTTAAAAAGCTCAATGTGTATTATATGTATATACGCCAAAATGACGATGAGACCATGTGGGGGGGGGGGGGGAGATACATTGTCTCAGGAACCTGGCCCCCCCCCCCCCCTGGCAAACCCCCTCCTGCAAAATTCCTGGATCCGCCCCTGTGGGCACATGATTGTTGCTGAGGATTGTGGGTCAGGGTAAGGCTTAGGGCTAGGTCTTGGGTTGGGGTTAGGGTTAGCCCTGTTTACAGGTGGTCTTGTGAAATAAATCTAACCCATGGTTAAATGAACAAAACCAATCTGTTTCACAGAGAATTACGAGTCCTCTAATATCTCTGTAAAAGATGACTGCCTTTAACACATGTCGTCACAGCACACGGCGTCAATCATTGGCTGAATAGCATGTGCATTAATTACATAAGACGTTACAGCTTTGGGCAGAATGCTGCCTTTTAGTCATATTAATACCCATTTAAACTAAATAGGAAATAATTTTTACCTACAAATACGTCAAATGTCATTATTTATTTTTCTAATACATCAAAAAAATGTTTTAGAGTTTAATTTGTCGGTGGAAAAAAGTTAATATTTGAGACTCATTATTAAGTCGCATTGATATCATCCTTATCAGTGATTGTAGCGGCCTAGCAAATATTCACTGCTGATCAGTGTGAGGCAAAGCGTCTAAATTCGAAATAGGGAGTGGTTATCTCCTGAATAACGCGCAGGTAAAATTTACTGTTCACTTTCATGTTAAGTGTTTACATATGACTATGTATCGTTTATCACGTTTCAATCCCTGCATTGGCCGAGAAAGTTCATCCAGATTTTCCAGCGTGGTTCTCCCTTGTCAGTGATGCAGGATGGAGGGGCTGACAAGGAAAGCTGTCTAGTCGTTCGGATGGGACAAAAAACCGAGGTCCCGTGTACACATTGGCGTGCACGTAAAAGATCCCTTGGCAGTTGGAATTCGATATAAGAGTAGGCCGTAGTGCCACTGTCCGGGCAAAATTTCCCTCATAGCACACTGTATGGCGTATGCCCGTCTTCATTAGCCCAGGTAAGGAGCAGAACAGTAGGACGTTAAACTCCATTTCATTTCATTTCGTTTATCACGTGTTTGGATTGGATAGATCCAATACCCTATTCAATATACAACCAGATCCGCACATTTCCCTTCCGGACGTTCATTTCCGGATCCGGGTTGTATAGGAAATTAACGTCTGCAACAAAAATTTGAGAAATCGCCATTCTGTAGAAGCTTAACCACAACAAAACAGTTTACCAGCCAGTTGACCATTTACTTGGTTAACTGTAACAGAATAATGGTGAGTCTTGGTTAGGTATAGATAGTCGATTAATAATCTTCATTTAGAAACGGTGTAAAGGTTATTACATGCCTCATTATGATTTAGAAAAGACCCTACGCTACGTGGTATCATGGAATATTTGGTAGATATGACACTCAAAAAGACTAAAATAATAGTAACACATGATTAATAAAACTGTGGTATAATCATTGAAGTAAAATGCAAGGTCACATGGTGTAATTAGGGGTGATGATTTTCCGTTTCAGAAAATAGCAAATTCCGTTTTAAGTATTTTTAATTCCGTTATTTTCTGTTTCAGAGCTGACCATATTCCGTTTTTTCGAGATAAAATGTTATTTTATGAATAAATGAATAAAACATCTTAAAATGCCTTTTATTACAAAACGGATCATTTTAAACCAATGATAACAAATGTTGAATTGTGAATGACTTGTAATGTTCAATGACTAGTTATTCTTTAAACCTGTTTCCCGAATTAAATAACAGAAAATTACATCTTGTGAGCTCGTTTCATCTTTTTAGCAGACGAAGTCATGTTTCTCAGCTGCTAGGTGTAGTCGCGATTTATCCAGACATCTTCGTAGTTACTACCGTTTCTTCGAGAATAAGGGCTGGATTCACAAGGCTACGGTATATTTCTGATGTCACGTGGTTAATGCGGATAAACACGAGTCACGAGCCCGGCAGTAAAATAAGAAGTAAATGAAACGATTTTTACTTTTATGAAGTGACAGAAGTTTTTTTAAAGACATATATATACATTACAATGTAATTTTATAATGGGATACATGAAAGACGGGTTTTCGTTTCGATTAAAATTATGATTCCTAAATGATGAAATGAAAGTAGCGAAATACTAAAATAGACAGTAACAAAACCACGCGATATCATTCAATATTTCCGATTTTTATGAATAAAAAGATAAAATACTTGGATAACTGCAAAATTATTTTGAGTTTGTGTTTAGTATCAGCAAATATCGGCTTTTCCGTCTTTTTCCGTGTGAGATTTCAAATTCCGTTTTGAGTGGACAATTCCGCGATTTCCGCGTTTTTTCCGCGATCACGGAAAATCATCACCCCTATGTAATAGAACCAAGTGTGATTGGTCAAAAAGTGATATTAATGTATACAGAGCACATCTGGTGACAGCTAGATAAAGAGCCTCATCCTCTTTCGGTACCTAGACCATTCGGACCAAAACGGAGACCACTCAGACCAACCTAAAAGACCACTCGGACCAACCCAAAAGACCACTCGGACCAATCAATTTATGTTGGAAGACCACTCGGACCAATCAATTTATGTTGGAAGACCACTCGGACCAATATTTATGTTGCCTCTCGTAGTCTCGGACCAATATTTATGTTGCTTCTCGGACCAATCAATTTATGTTGGAAGACCACTCAGACCAATATTTATGTTGCCTTTCGAACCAATCAATTTATGTTGGAAGACCACTCGGACCAATATTTATGTTGCCTCTCGTGGCCAACCCAAAGGATCGCTTCTCGATCCAATTATTCACTTAAGAAATAAAATACAGATTTTAAATTAAATAAATATTATTTATTTATTAAAAATAACAATACAAAGAAGCGAATAATTTATAGGTGAATCTATACATTATCTATACATAATTTAAAAATGTCCTCCTTCCTTACATAAGAGAAAATATTCATATTTATTACATCAACAATTTATAAAATAATTTTTTATTTGTAATATGCCCGTGACATGGTACAGGTAAGTAGCATATTCATATTTATTACATCAACAATTTATTAAATTTTTTTTTTTTTTTTTAGTTTTTGATATACCTGTGATAGGCCCGTCTTCATTGACCCAGTCTAGTGACCTATTCGCTGGGACCGTAAATTAAACCACATTTCTTTAATAGTTGGCTTGTGCTAATTGCTTCTTCATTGTATTGAATCCAAATCGCAAAAAGTTTTCCCTGGATTGACGTGTCAGTTTCTTTTGGTATCTTTTTAATTTTCCTTACAGAGACACATGAGAATTCATATAGAAGAGAAACCTTATAAATGTGATGTTTGTAGTAAATCATTCATTCAGAATAGTGAGTGTCAGATACACATCAGAAGTCATAGTGGAGAAAAGGATTGTAAATGTGATGTTTGTGGTAAATCATTTTCTAGGTACAATTATCTACAAAATCACATCAGAATTCATACTGGAGAGCGGGGGGTTGGATGGCTGAATGGTTAGCGTGTTCGTGCTGTATCATAAAGTCTGTCATTAAGTCTACTGGCGTGGTTTCGAATCCCCGGTTGTACGTGGCAAGGAATAGGGTCGCCTGTACTCCAGGTCCTCCGGTTTCCTCCCACTGCTAAAGACCCCTACGCGCAAGCGAATTATTGAAATATAATTGAATCATGTGTTAGTTTGTGTCGAGTGGACGTTAAACCCCATTTCTCTCTCTCTCTCTCATACTGGAGCGAAACATTATAAATGTGATGTTTGTGGTAAATTTTTCCTTCGGAATAGAGATTTTCAGATTCACATCAGAATTCATACTGGTGAAAAACCTTATCAATGTAATGTTTGTAGTAAATCATTTTCTAGACGAGCTGAACTACAAAAACATAAAAAAAACAACGCATACCTGAAGAAAACCATATAAATGTAATGTTTGTTTTAAATCACTTTATCTGATTTGGGTTCTACAAAGTCACCTTTTAAATGTGAAGTTGGTGGTAGATTATCGAGAAAACCCTTAACTTACAAATTTCTGTCAGATTTCCATTCTGAACAAAGTTATGATTTGTTTAAAGTTTTGACAAGATAGTCAGAACAATAATATTTGAAGAATATAAATAAAATGAAATTGTTATCACTCGTCACATCAGTCAGTTATAAAGAGAGATGGCTCGTGTTTTCCTTTGGCGTTCGTCACTTCCGACTCAGGAAACCTGTATTACTCAGCTATCGTAGCAATGATCTCTGTGTTAAAATTATATTTGGAATGTGTTTAACCAGCTCTATCACATATGTGATAATGACTGGCACCAATATTGTCCTTTAAGATTTTCACAAAAATGAGTCTATAAATATACTATCTATTGACCCAAAAGATCAAAATAGCAATAATGCATTTTAAAATACCTTTATTTGGATGTTTTGTAAAAGTACCATATTCTTAAAATCTTTCTTTTATCTTAAAATTCCTGGCTGTTTGGGTGGCATTTGATCATAAGGTCTGCCATTGAGTCAAGAGGCATCGTTTTGATTCCTGCTTGTATGTGACAAGGAGTAGGGTCGCCTGTCCAGCTGCGTGGGTTTTCTCTGGGTCTCCCGGGTTTCCTCTGAATGTGCTAATGATCCCTTTGCGTTAGCGAATTATTGAAATTAAATTGAACCATATGCTAGTCCCAAAATGACCTAATGTAATGATTATACCATTTGCATTTTATGTCATCCTCAATTCCATATTATTGTCTTGTTATTTCGTTATTATATCCAGTGGTATTTTCTCCGCTTCCATTGTTTACTATTTGTTATTATTATGGGTTACGCGCAGTTATCGTGCGCAATAGTCATGACGCTAGTCAAATTTTCACGCTCGCGTAAATCACACTTGCCATTAAATAACCAATAAACTATGCATTGTCTTGGGTCGCCCTGAATGTGATTTACTCCCGAGTACCTTATTTGTAAACTACGACATAATAGGCTGTTGTCGATCTTGCATATCTTTGTCATTTGTATTTTTCCTACAGCACAGCTATTTACTTTCGCTTGTCAAACGGCATGGCGGAACTGAAACTCGAGACGTCACTTGGCATGCGGGGCTAAGACGACGTTTTCTGATTGGCTAGTCGTTTTCCGCAGGTAATATAAATAGGGATCAGCCGGCAATTTTGACAGATCGCCTTTTCACAGCAGAAATAGTCTCAACCAATTTTCAATATGGTAAGGATTGCTTAACGGTTATTACCATGACTAACCAAGTTGTTACTTTCACAACAAACTTATTACAAGTTTGTGCTGCAACATAAGCAACCTAGTTCTATTCACTTACAAGTGCATGTTATAAACATAACATAGGCCTAAATGTTTAAAAGCTAACATGTTGTAATCGGAACATGTTCATGTTGCATTCATAACAAACTTGTTGCATCCATAACAAACTTGTATCACAAGGATTGGTTTTTCAGACACTTGTTGCTGTTCTTAATTTAACTAGCATAATATAAGTATAAGCTTACATATAGTTTTACTATTTTAACTATTTATTGTAGACATGTATGTTCTATCCATGACAACCTACTGTTAGTGTTAGTGATAGGCCTACATACAACTTCTGAACTTGTTTAATTTATAACAGTTCCACTTATCGCCATCCGTTACCTGCCCGATTTGCTTGATAGCTTAAAGTAATCAATCATTTTTTAATATTATAGCTTGTGAAATATAATTTATTGCATCTTATTCTTATTTATAAATTATTACAAATAGTAATAGTATTAAAATATATAGCTTACAAGCTTAATTGTTAAATATAATATATTGCATCGTATTTATAATTAGATCTACACAGTATTAATATATATTGTTACAATCTTAATTGTTAAATAAATATTTACTTGAGATTTTAAACCTGGCTTGTGTCAATCATTCGATCGTAGTGCTAATCGTAATAGCATAAACTCATCTTATTTTAAAGATGTAACATGCATTAATAAAGAAACTGAGTTTGCCACTTGGAACTAAAGGCATCCAATCGTAGCTAAAAACAATATTTATAATTAGATCTACACAGTATTAATATATATTGTTACAATTTTAATTGTTAAATAAATATTTACTTGAGATTTTAAACTTGGCTTGTGTCAATCATTCGATCGTAGTGCTAGCCTGGGAACTGCTAGGCTGAGAATGAACGATCCACATATTTGTGTAGCACGTTTGCCTGGAAGCCTGTGGGGAAAGGGCGCATCGCAGCATAGAGGGTCAGGGTGTCAAATCGCTACACTAGTTTGTGTCTAGTAGATGTTACCCCCCCCCCCCTCTCTCTCTCTCTCTCTATTTAAATTCTCCTTTAGTTATTTTTCTCCGCTTGCTGTTGAGCGGCCCTACATCTCCTTACGTAATTACTGTCCCTTGTTGTGAAGTGGCAAATGTTTAGTTTATAAATATGACCATAGTCTATGGTAGTCACTTTAGTAATGGTGTCTGATCAGACTTATCGTCCTCTCACCATTACTGTCCCTTCCTATTAACATGTAATAGTTCACATCATTGCGCACGCCAGTTGATATCATGAGTTAGATTTTCAAAATATTAATAAATAAATAGAGTATTTTAGACATTAATAAAATTATGATCTCTAACATAAAAATAAGGCAGAAAGTAATTACCTGACTTGGATTGCAGACTAATTAAAAATGAAATTACTGTGATTGTGAGTTGCTCGGGGTGGGTAGATCCATGTCTTTGTTGGCAATACAACCGGATAAAGAACAGATTTTGTGACTTGCGCAGTTGAGTAAATCAACAATCTTCTATGGTTATGAACAATAAGAAAGTCAGACCAGCTACGCTTTAATAAAAAAACTGAAGCAAAGATAATGGTGGGTTGATTTTAGTTTGTGTGATATTAGAACAATTGAGTGTCGGCCAGCTTATAGAAAGGTCGGAGAATCTGGTTATAGGAAATTCCGAACTTGGCTAAAGTAAAGTAAAGTAAATTTATTGCATAAAAACGCCCACAATGAAGGAGCAGCATACAATTACAAAAATTACATTAATACAATACAATAAATATACATGTAACAAATAAACGAACATTAATACAATACAACAAATATACATGTAGCAAATAATAAAGATACATACTAGAAATGGTCCCACTACTGTTGTCTTCCATTTTGCTCCAGCCACATTAGTGGATCGTTCTAAGGCTTTCCTTTGAGCAAGTTTAGTAGCCTATGACTCCATTAATTTCCGATAACACTGGCCACAAACTGTACTGCACATACCTTAAGATATAATAAACCAATTCCCATTGAAATAAAAGTGAAACCTTACCGCATAATTATATGATTTGATTAAACCCAACTGCTATGCGAAATTTCTGTTCATTTTAAAATGGCCACCAAACCAGCATCACATGATTTCATGGCACTTAAAAATACAGAAAAACTGTTCGGTAAGATAAGATTAAGAATTCAGTGTTCCACTCTTCACTATTTGTAACATAATTACTTATATCCATGCAAACTGTGATGATATGTGTTGAAAAGTTGCAATTGAACCTAATTTTACTTGCGCAAAGCCTCAAACAGAGTATCAATTGTAGGCATGAATAATATTGTAATATTTCCTGAGTTACTATGTTGAACCACCAAACACATGTAGATGAGCTGTAGTCAATGACGTTTTGTATGTTTAGTAGCTGTATATATAAGTGACTGGTTTAGCATCAGTTATGTCACATGTCCTTTTTTCATAACAGTATAATGAAAATAAATGTTATTCTCACACCAGTACAATGTATTGTATCAGTATTAACGTCCACTCGACACAAACTAGGTAATTTCTGGACTAACACATGGTTCAATTTTATTTCAATAATTCACTTGCATAGGGGTCTTTAGCAATGGGAGGAAACTGGAGGTTGGACAGGCGACCCTACTCCTTGTCACATACAAACGGGGAATCAAAACTTTGCCAGTTGACTTAATGAAAGACCTTATAATACAGCACGCACATGCTAACCATTCGGCCATCCAACAAAATAATGAGTCAAGACTTTATTTATTATGGTATTATACAATGGACGTTGACACTGATTCTTACTTTGGTTTCTGTAACAACGTAGATTCAACAAGAAAAGAATAAATACAAGCATAGGCGTACAAGCCGGGGGGGGGGGGGCAGCTGCCCCCCTAACTTTTAGGCAATCTGACTTTTCTTGCAGACGGGTAAAGTGAAACAAAAATTATTATTTCATCTAGTTGGCAAAATAAAGTGCCTGAAATATAATAAAACACCCATTATACTTTTCTTATAATTGAATACCGGGGTACCCCGAATTTGTACTGAATTGGCTATGGATTAAAACATTTTGTCTGGAGTCACTCTGTGTGACATTATCGGGCATCGATTATTATTTGTGAATGCAGCTGCAACAGTCTGATTGGATGGTTGGAATTCAGGTCGGGATTGAGTTGGATTTCGGTTAAAAAAAACATTGGACAACTTTGAAGCTGCTTAACTCACAGGCTAGAATAGCAGAAAACGCATTTGCTACGGTTACATTTTCAAAATGTTCTCCAGTAGGGCGAGGCCCCCATACCCCTCGACGATTGGTTGTTTGTTTGTGATTCGGGTCAGCCATCAAAAGTAGGCTATATTAGACCACATTGAAGTTGCTGTATTCAAGGGCTGAAATAGCAGGAAAACGCGTTTGCGGCAGTTAAATGTTCAAAATTTTATTCCAACAGTCCCTGCCTCTGTGAACTGTAAACGATTGATTTGTTGATTGGAATTCGTGTCTGCCACTTTGAAATAGCTGGCGCTGGCTCGCTAGCCTGGAGGTCGGGTGTTCGATCCCTGCATTGGCCGAGAAAGTTCATCCCGATTTTCCGGCGTGGTTCCCCCTTGTCAGTGATGCAGGACGGAGGGCCTGACAGGGACAGCTGTCTAGTCATTCGGATGAGACGAAAAACCGAGGTCCCGTGTACACATTGGAGTGCACGTAAAAGATCCCTTGACAGTTGGAATTCGATATAAGAGTAGGCCGTAGTGCCGCTGTCCGGGCAAAATTTCCCTCATGGCACACTGTATGGCGTATGCCCGTCTTCATTAGCCCAGTTCGGAGCAAAACAGTAGGACGTTAAACCCCATTTCATTTCATCATTTCATTGAAATTGCTGTAGTCAGGGACTGAAGTGGTAGGAAATTTTCTCCCGACGGTCCCCCATCTCCGTGAACTGGAAACGATTGATTGGTTGATTGGAATTTGAGTCAGCCTGCTAGGCTTGTTAAAACACTATCAATAGGCCAAATGATTAAAACTTATGTATATTGAAGATACATTATGTAAGATTAGATAAAGAGCTGGCAGTTCTCACTATAATAGTTAAAAACTAGATAATGTAAAGGCAATTTGCTGAAAATTTCAGTCAAATTGATCCACTCTGAACCGAGATATTTATTTCAGACAAATTTCTTCACTCGAAGCCAAGAAAACCTTATTTTAAATTCCATGTTGTCTCGGTTGTCATTGTTACAGCTGTCACAATAATTAACAAAGTCTTGACTTGGTTACTCACTCGCTTTATAGGGGAAGATACCAGTGTTTGAATGGGGATTTTTTATGTAAGATTTTAAACTTGATTAATCTGTTGTTATGAATTTATTATTGTTTCAAAGTTATATTTTACAGGAAACTAATGCTATTACAGGAAACTAATGATGTTATAACTTTTATATATTACAGGAAACTAATGATGTTATAACATTTCATCAATGCACTGTGTGTGATGAGATTTTTCAACAATATGAAGATTTAGAAAAACACACAAAAATACATGTTAAAGAAGAGAAAACTGATGATGTAGATAAATATTACCATGTTAAAGAAAAGAAAACTGATGATCTTGATGAATATTGTCATGTTAAAGAAGAGAAAACTGATAATGTAGATGAATATTGTCATGTTAAAGAAGAGAAAACTGATGATATTGAAACTGTTTATCAGTGTAATTTGTGTGATGAAGAATTTAGATTAGAATCTGATTTAGAAAAACACTGTGAAGTACATGTTAAACAAGAGAAGTCTGCTTTACAACATAGAGGGAAAATTGTTGAATGTAATGTTTGTAGTAAATCATTCTCCAGTAGGCTGACTTTGTTCCTCCACAAGAGAATTCATACTGGAGTGAGGCCTTATAAATGTGATGTTTGTAGTAAATCGTTCATTCAGAGTAGTCACCTGAAGTCACACCTGAGAATTCACACGGGTGAAAAACCTTTCAAATGTAATATTTGTGATAAATCGTTAACTAAAAAGAAAAATTTGGAAAAACACCTGAGAATTCATACAGGTGAAAAACCATATAAATGTGATGTTTGTGGTAAATCATTTACTAACAATTCTCATTTACAGTACCATATAAAACTTCATACGGGAGAAACACCTTATAAATGTGATGTTTGTAGTAAATCATTTAGTGATCGTTGTCATCTACGGATACACATGAGAATTCATACTGGCGAACGACCTTATAAATGCGATGTTTGTGGTAAATCATTTGGACAGAATGGAAATCTTCAGAGCCATGTGAGAATTCATACAGGTGAAAAACCTTATAGATGTGATGTTTGTAGTAAATCATTTACTCGAAATAATGATCTACGAAGACACATAAGAAGTCATTCACAAACGAAACTTAATAAATCTCATATTGTAGGGTCGGATCAGTCTTTATGATGGATATTGAAATGAAATGAAATGAAATGGGGTTTAACGTCCTACTGTTCTGCTCAGACTAGGCTAATGAAGACGGGCCCGGACAGTGGCACTAGGGCCTACTCTTATATCAAATTCCAACTCTCAAGGGATCTTTTACGTGCACACCAATGTGTACACGGGACATTGTTTGTTTTTTCCGTCCCATCCGAACGACTAGACAGCTGTCCTTGTCAGGCCCCCCGTCCTGCATCACTGACAAGGGGGAAACCAATCAGGATGATGAATATGAGTTAATGCTGATCTTGCATTGTTAGGGATAATATATAACTAATTGCAGTTTAATCGATACTATAATATGATCCGACTGATTATTTAACATTTTATTAAATGGTGGTGGTTCTGATTTGCTTGTACCCATGTTATTAAAATACAGATCTATATAGTTCCGTACACCACTTGACTAACCACAATACAACCACCTGGCACAGGTCACGATGCAATGAAATACAATTACTGTTTAAAACTGAGTGACGTTTTGACTAGGTTTACGTAGTCTTTATAATTACTGGACATGGTGAATAAAGCTTAATAATGTTGAGTGATTACTCTTTGAAACGAAGTGGGGGTGGGGGATGGCCCGAATGGTTAGCACGTGCACCCTGTATCATAAGATGTCATTGAGTCAACTGGTGTGGTTTCGATTCCCAAGTTGTACGTAACAAGGAGTAAAGTCACCTGTTCAACCTCGTCGGTTTTCTCTGGCTCCTCAGGTTTCCTCTGAGTGCTAAAGACCCCTACGTGCAAGTTAAACGTCCACTCGACACAAACAAGGTCACTTTGGGACAAAAATATGGTTAAATTTTATTTCAATAATTCGCTTGCGCATAGGGGTCTTTAGCAGTGGGTAGAAACCGGAGGACCTGAAGAAAACCATGAAGTTGGACAGGCGACCCTACTCCTTGTCACGTACAACCGGGGAATCAAAACCACGCCATTTGACAGAGAGAGAGTGAAATGGGGTTTAACGTCCACTCGACACAAACTAGGTCATTTCGGGACTAGCCAGTTGACAGACCTTGTGATACAGCGTGCACGTGCTAATCATTCGGCTATCCAGCCGCCCTAGTCTGTACATGTAAAACCCAGCATTATAAATGGTAATTAATATAAACATAAAATAGTTTTTAAGGGTAAAATGTTTTTTAAAAATATAAGTTTTCGGGTTTGATTTAAAAAGGGGAAATTTCGTATAAGATCTCAGATCTAAGAGTAAATTATTCCACAGTTTAGGCGTGCCTCACATTGGGCACAGTCGCCATACTGTTGGGCGTTTTCTTCCCATGTACTTTAAACTACTCCTAGTACGATATGCTGGTTTACAAACATTAAAGATACATTACGGGAGATTGGATAACGAGTTGGCAGTTCTCACTATAATAATTAAAAACTAGATAACGTAAAGGCAATTTGCTGAAAATTTCATTCAAATTGATCCACTATGAACCGAGAACTAAGCGAATGAAATTTCTGCCTAGCCTCGGTCATCATTACTGAAGTCATTACGATAAACAGCATAGTCTTGATTATCCATTTAATCATTTAATCGAGAAGGAAAGTTATGCAGTAAATCTGCTCACAATCCACTTAAGATCGCAGGCTAGCGATGCCATCTAGAGTTGATTATGGTCTGGATAAGTTAATTAATGTCTGATTGATAATTTAGATAACATTTCAGGCCTAAAGAAAGACCTGCAATAGACAGATTTAGCTCTTGCATAATGTATGTTTAATAATGTCAGTGAGTCAGTGCAGCTCTTTTAAGATAGACGTCATATCCACATATCTACCTAACTTCCATCTGGTGACCAGCCTAGCAGCAGAATTCTGAATATGTTCTGATTTTTTTATTTTGTAGTTCGGAAAACCATAGTACAGACTATTACAATAGTCTAGCTTTGATGTGATAAAACCATGCACTAAGTTCTCAGTGCTGGTTTGATCCAGAAGATGTTGGGTTTTACCAACACGCCATAATGAGTGAGATGTCCTAATACATACACTCTTGATCTGCTCATCCATGAGTCCCGTTGAGTCCATCATCACCTCCAGATCACAAACGGTTGCCGAAGGAGATACAATGACCTCACCAACGCGCACACCACCCTCGACTACCTGCAGACTGTCCTTGCTGCGTGATGAGAACCGCACTATTGCAGTCGAATTGTCATTCAGTGTGATCAAATTTCCTCGCATCCAATCACGGATCTCATCAAAACATGCTTCTATTCGCCGTACTGTTCAGGAATAACAGGCCTCTATTCGGCCTACTGTTCGAGAATCACATTGAAGTGAAACTGTGTCTTCAACATAGGTAGCATCATTCACTAATTTGGCTCGAATTTTGACAATTTTCTCACTGAAGAAATTCGCAAAAATATTAGGTAATTTTGAAATTTCTACATTGGTCAGAATATTAATCGCTGAAGATTTCTTGGAACCAGAAATGCTATCCACTATTTTAAAATGTTCCTTGATATTGGCTGTCTCAATTCTGTCGCGGTGAATAGACGCTTTTCTCGCTTCAAGTTTTCCATTGTAAACAGTCTGAGTGGTCGTGAACATTTGTCGGTGAACTTTCATTTTAGAATCGACCCTTTGACATTCAAGATTTCGCAAGACTCTGCGCTCAGACAGAAGATCAGCAGAAAACCATTCAGCGCGTTGTTTATTAATAACGATTTTCTCACTTAATGGTGCACATGTATCCATCACATATTTAGTTCAAAATAGTAGACATCCACATCTGATTAACATCACCAATGGACTCCATTTGACTGAGTGAACTAGTAATAGATGTGTTTAAATCATTGAAATCAATGTCCTTCAGCACGCGATGACTTTTTGTAACTTTTATTGGTCGCAGACAATAGCTAAAATGTTTGATTATTTCATGATTCTACTGGCAGAACTCTGATAATTCTCAGTCTCTTGATTTTAATTACCTCAAATTGGTTCATTCTGGACTGACAATCTGTACTCTTTCCTCCCTAGGAATATGTCATATAGGATTTATAAAGCTATACTAATGTCCAAAAGAAAGTACACACTGTGCATTTCGGGCTGCATCAACCAAAGTTGTTTTCCATCGTATATACAGCATTTGGGTACAATGTCAATTTGTTTTGATTTTTTATTTTGCTTCGAAATGTTGAGTTTGGACGCAAGAGACAAACCCTGTAAAGTTTTTTCAAATGTTTTTAATCAAAATAAAACTTGGTCATATTTTTAGTGTGTATACTTTTTTTTGGGACATTAGTATATTTAAAAATTCATAGAAGAATCGAGAATTAACTGTTAAATTAATTTCGCAGTATATTACTAGTTGTGGAAAAATAATCTGTTGTGTAGTTATCAGAATAACATTAATGTAGGGAACTACACTAGTTACGCAGGAAAACCAGTATGGCGGGTCAGTCTGCTGAATGATTTAATATAACAGGGAATATATAAAGGCTAAAGAAACAGGGAACTACATGTATACAACCATTTATTAATACCGGCAGTCTTAAATCGATATTGTTTTTATAATGACAAAGGGAGAAGATGACCCGCTGCACCTTCTCTTCTCACGACAGTGTTTTTAAGTGACTTAGAACTTTTTATTGTTTAGTGGTTTTACTCATTCAGATGTAAATTACTTAATTAAATCAACCTGTCCATAATATCATGCATGATGTATTGGACATTAAAATTTTAATAAACAACAACATATTTCAGTAGCTTTGTAAATTGTTGATTTATTTAATCTATACTAATATTTGTGACTGTCTGTTTGTCTGTCTATTTGTCTGTCTGTTCGGGGTTGGCGGCTACACTAGGTCTGCAACAAGTCTGAAATTTGGGGTATAGGGGTAGCTCGGACCGGGGAGTAACATAGGCCAGGTGGCGTAATGATATTGAAAGCTGATGATATTGAAACTGTTTATCAGTGTAATTTGTGTGATGAAGAATTAAAATTAGAATCTGATTTAGAAAAGCACTGTGAAATACATGTTAAAGAAGAGAAGTCTTTTTTACAACATAGAGGGAAAATCATTGAATGTAATATTTGTAGTAAATCATTCTCCAGTAGGCTGACTTTGTTCCTCCACAAGAGAATTCATACTGGAGTGAGGCCTTATAAATGTGATGTCTGTAGTAAATCATTTGCCTCTCCCTCTCATTAGCTGGTAGCAAACCAGGTCAAACCCTCTCATTAGCTGGTAGTGAATAAAAGTGTTATTTATTGTAGTTATTTCTTAAATTAGTGCTGATTGGGTGATAAAAATAAATCATCCAATGAAATGGAATGTTATATTCGCTATTTGTCCAATAAAAATGAATTGTTTGACAAAGGATCTCCAGGAATTTACATAATACAGTAGGTCAGAGGTGAAAATTCACACCATGTCAACAACTTTAATTTGGCATTGTTCCACTGAATTCCAACTGACACTACTCTTCCTCATTGAATGTCCAACTGTCCAGGGACACCCAATGTTTTGATAGTGTTGAAATGATATTCTTGGAATATTGTTAAAACAATACTTGTAAAGAACCTGTGATAGTTGGAATTTGATGGAATGCAGCTGCCCATTCAAAATTCTCCTATTAAGCAATGTATATATCACAACACAGTTCTATGGATAAGAATCACTATATTATACACACACAACATTTTTGTTTTTTTGTAATTTGTATGCTTGATAACGACCAGAGAATTCTTGTTGAGAGAGAGAGAGAGAGAGAAATGGGGTTTAACTCCACTCGACACAAACTAGGTCATTTTGGGACTAACATATGGTTCTATTTTATTTCAATACAATAATTCGCTTTCAAGTATAAGTCTTTGCAGGTGGGAGGAAATCGGAGTACTCTGAGAAATCCCACAAGGTTGAACAGGCGACCCTACTCCACGCCACTTGACTCAATGACAGATCTTATGATACAAAGCGCATGCGTTAACCATTCGGCCATCACCACCCACCTACCCCCTTCATAGATTATATTTCTCTACAATATCATAATTCAACATTTTGTAACACAAAAAACACTTGTCATCATGGGTTAGTGGGCTTGTACCCAACAACTGTCCTGAAATATCAGATTGTAGCCTTGGCTTATTATTTAAGAAATCTTTTCACATAATATAATTGATGCATTTTAGATATTAATGAAATTACGACCTCTAACATAAAAAAACAACAAAGTAATTACCTGGCCTGGATCATTCTGTTACAACCATATTGATTGCAGACTACTTAAAAAATGTAATTATTTCGAGTGTGAGTTGATCGGGTTGGATAGATCCACGTTTCAATTGCATATACAACCGGATGAAGATAAGTTTTAGTGACTTGCGCAGTAGAGTAAACCAACAATTCTGCATTGTTACGAATCAAAACAAAGGCAGATCAGTTACACCTTGATAAAAGTCGAAGCGAAAATAATGGTGGGTTGATTTTGATTGAAACAGTAGCACAATTGAGTGTCGACCAGCTCGAGGAAAGATTTATCACTGCACTGTTAGTTAGAGACCGTCACACTGATCAGTGAATAATGGCTAGGTTGCCACTAGAAATGGTTCCACTACTGATGTCATGGTCTTGCTCCAGCCACATAAGTGGACCGTCCCAAGGCCTGCCTTTCAGGACGTTTTGTAGTTATTTGACTACAATAAATTACTGGCCTTTAGCTCCCATAATTTCCAATTACATTGACCCCAAACTCAACTGTACATAGCTTAACATATAATAAACTAATTCCCATTGAAATAAAGGTGAAACCTTACCGCATAATTATTATGATTTGTTTAAAGGGACGATAACACTCTTGCTGGCTTGACAGCTCCAGAAAATAAATAATAGCCTTATTCTAAGTATTAGATGTTTATGTGTCCTACCTGTTGTGTAAATTATCCATTACATCCTATTTTACTTGTCCAGAGGATTCGAAAATATTTTTAAATCAAAGTCACATTTGAAAAGGTTTACGTTGGGCTTTTCAAATCATTTAGTTGAATTTTTCCAATTTTTTTATATTAGGTGTGTTAAGATGAAATTTGTATCATCAATTAATTGGAATATTGTAAAATAGTACAATTTGTTGACTAGAATAAAGATTGGGACATATTATTCAGTTACAAGAGTGGTATTGAGCCTTTAAACCCTGCTATGCAAAATTTCTGTTCAGTTTAAAATGGCCGCCAAAGCAGAATCGCGGGGTGTCATGTCACTCGATTTCAGTGTTCCACTCTTCACTATTTGTTACATAATTACTTATTTCCATGCAAACTGTGATGATATGTGTTGAAAATTTTGCAGTTGAACCTAATTTTACTTGCTCAATGCCTCGAATAGTGTATCATATTTAGTTTATATTTAAATCTCAAATAGTTTTATATTTTGTATTTTTATATGTTCTTGTTGTATATATGTTCTGTATGTACATAAATTAAACTTATTTTTGTAAATTCTGGAGAGGAGTCAACATAGGCCCAGCCTGTTCTCCAATCCATTTTCAAATGAAACAAAAAACTGTTTACAAAAAAAAAAGAATAGTGTATCAATTGCAGCCGTAGATAAGAATTATCATGGCTATAAATTGCAGCTAGGTTGCCACAATTCCGTTTCCAGTAAGATTTTTAAGATGTTATATTTTGGTCAACCTATCTCAGTAGACTTATCAACTAATGATGTAATAACTTTTATATATTACAGGAAACTAATGATGTAATAACTTTTATATATTACAGGCAACTAATGATGTTATAACTTTTATATATTACAGGAAACTAATGATGTTATAACTTTTATATATTACAGGAAACTAATGATGTTATAACTTTTATATATTACAGGAAACTAATGATGTTATAACTTTTATATATTACAGGAAACTAATGATGTTAAAACTTTTCATCGGTGTGTTGAATGTGGTGAAATTTTCCATAAATACGATGATTTAGAGAAACACAATAAAACACATGTTAAGACAGAGGAAACTGATGACGTAGATGGATATTGTCATGTTAAAGAAGAGAAAATTGAAGATATTGAAACTGTTTATCAGTGTAATTTGTGTGATGAAGAATTTAGATTAGAATCTGATTTAGAGAAACACTGTGAAATACATGTTAAAGAAGAAGAGTCTTCTTTACAACATGGTAGAAAGTTAGAGACCGGGCTTAGTCAGTGTAATGAAACACACATACAAAGTCGAGAGGTTTCTAAGAAATATGAGAAATCATGGACGGAAAAGGACACAAGAAATGTAACAAGAGACAAAGCGTACACGTGTGGTGTTTGTAGTAAATCATTCGCTAAAGGTGGCAATCTACAGCGACATATGGAAATTCATCTGGGAGTAGCAGAGAAGCCGTTTGGATGTGACGTTACTAGCTATTCCTGTTTCCAGAGTCGTAGTTTAACAACAGATACGAAGGTTCACACGGGAGAAAAATCCTACGATTGTGATGTTTGTGGTAAATCATTTTCTGGAAGTGATAGTCTGATGCAACACACCAAAACGGGTACTGGTGAAAAACCCTATAAATGCTGTGTTTGTACGAAATCATTTAAGTATAACAGCGACCTGGACAGACACACCAAAACTCACACAGGTGAAAAACCTTATAGATGTGGTTTATGTAGCAAGTCATTCATTCAACATAGTACTCTACTGGAACATATACGAACTCACACAGGTGAAAGACCATTTGAGTGTTATGTTTGTAGTAAATCATTTACTAATAGTAGTCACCTACAGAGACATATCAGAATTCACACTGGCGAAAAACCTTATAAGTGTGATGTTTGTGATAAATGTTTTGTTAATAGTTGTAATTTACAGAGACACATGAGAACTCATCGAGATAAAACTGTTTGAATTTGTAATGATTCTGTTTATTTCATATACAATCCGGTCTTTTAACCGACAGGAGGGCTTTGGGGGGCGGGAAACATTATGAAGATGGATAAACCCCCTCTCCTTTCAACCTGTTTTTGTACTACTGTTGGGCTGTGATTTTGAAATATATCTATTGATGTACAATTAGTTAAAGATACATTATGGAAGATTAGATAAAGAGCTGGTAGTTCTCACTAGAAGAGTTAAAAACTAGATAATGTAAAGGGAATTTTCTGAAAATTTCAGTCAAATTGATCCACTCTAAACTGAGATTTTAGCAATTGAATTTTGGGCCTCGATCATCATTACTTAAGTCGGTACGATAAAAGCATTGTCTCGATTATCCATTTTTTGATTTAATCAAAAGCAGCAGACCGGGTTCTAATCCAGTAAATATCGCAGGCTAGCGATGCTATCGAGAGTTGATACTGGTCTGGATAAGTTAATTAATGTCTAATTAATAATTTAGATAATATTTCAGGCCTAAAGAAAGACCTGCAATTGACAGATTCAGCGGTGCACAATTCCCATCGCCCGACACCCGGGACAGGTTAATCATTTTGTTGGACAGCTGATATTTCACATTCCGCCCGCCCGCAGACAGGCCGATTTTCTCTGACAAATTCTTTGAAATTGAACAATACTTTGTGATCATTTAAAGTATTTAAGTTCCTGTCGGCACAATAATAATAGCCGAATAGACTAACTTCAGTTACAACTAACTTACTAAGCACACGATAGTCCTACCGGTAATAGCTTCCGGTACTAAAAATAACTTTTCTAAAATAAACGAGTATTGTCGAATGACAACATTTCTTACCGAAGACACCGCAATTTTTTTTACTCTATTTTGTGAAAATTTTCCTCTTTTCAATGTCATTCACAGCATTTTATTGTTGAATGATAAATAAACAGCAATAAATAATGTTATAAGTGTTCATTTCACAAAGATTACAAATGCCGTATAGCGTTTTTACATCACCTGACTTCTCGCTCTCTTTTCCACACGACCTATGGTACTGTTAGAATTATCCCTGTTTCTTCACAAATTGTGTATACCCACACTTTGATTTTTCAAAGGAATCATTGATTTTCTGATTAAAATATATTTTATGTAAGCAGAAATGTGAATAAAGCTAACTATACTGAGAGGTACCGGTACACTGATTATCAATGACATTGTGTCATGGTGGTCCTTAAATTGCATGATCAGAAAAACTGCTATTTATTTGACTTGGTAAATGGGCAGGTTTTTAGACAGCACTAATATTGTATACTTTAATTTACATGTAGAATTCTTGTATTGTAATATTTCATTTTCAATACGGCATACGCTTGAATGAGAAAAAACGAGTTTGCAAGGGTAAACGGCCGATAGAACAACACAAACTTTTTCTGATGTTTTTTCCTTTTTATCCCTCCATTTATGGTTCTTGTTGTCTATTACAATTATAACGTCCTATACATTATTGATGATAACATGGACAGGTTGAAACAGAATTGGAACATTTGGATGCTTAAATATTTGTTACTTTGTTATTATTTTTATGTTTAGTCATGTAAATGTGTGCTGCGTAATTGTTCGTGTAGCTACTTAAATTTGTAATGATTCGATTTATTTGGTGTACAATGAGTTAAAGATACAGTAGATAAGATTAGATGAAAAGTTGATAGTTCTCACTATAAAAAGGGGTGTGGCCTATGATCCAAAGTATGACAGCCCAAGACAGCTAGGGGTGTGTTCAATGACTGTTAGTGGTTGGGTCATGACAGCTAGGGGTGTGGTCAATGACTGTTAGTGGTTGCTCCATGACATGGCACTTAAAGGGGCATTAGGTAAGATTAGATAAGGGGATGACAGATCTAGCTATAATAGTTAACAAATTGATAATAGAAAGAGAATATTCTGAAACTTTCAGTCCAATTGCTTCACTCTGAACCAAGATATTAGCCATCAAATTTTAGGTTAGCCTTGATCGTCATTACTACCGTTGGTACGATTATAAACCATGTCTTGATTATTTACCTTTACCTTAAATTATCCATCACAAAATGTATTCAAATATCCTGTTTCCTTCCACTGCTAAAGACCCCTATGCGCAAGTGAATTATTGCCATAAAATTGAACCATGTGTTAGTCCCAAAATGACCTAGTTTGTGTCGAGTGGATGTTAAACAACTCTCTTACATCATGCATGTTTAACGTGTGTATATATATATATATTCTTTAAAAATAAACTGAATATTGGTCTTCATATAAATTCATTACCAACAGGTTTCACAACATAGTGATCATCAGGGTAAAAGTTACTCTGATGATCACTATGTTGTGAAACCGGTTGGTAATGAATTTATATGAAAACCAATCTTCAGTTTGTTATTTTTAAAGAATATTGAAGACATAAACCATGAACATTTAACTTTTACATCTATATATATATATTAATAAAAACTAAATAAAGCTGCTCTCAGTATATAACATTAAAAAAACACAATTTTTAACGATTCAAAAAAATATTAATTTACACATTCCGCCAAGTACTTTCGATCGTTACGGTTTCTTGAGGGTGAATGACAATAGAGATAAACATTTTAATACAATAAAACACACGTTTCGGGCAGCCTGTAAATTATACATAATCACGTGCTATTAGGGATGAAAAATATATAATTAAAAAAATGAAACATTTCAGGCCTAAAGAAAGACCTGCAACAGGAAGATTTAGCTCTTGCATAATGTATCTTTAATGATAATTAATTCACACATCTGAGTGTCACAATTTTTATGCGTTATTGTTTGTATTTTGGTTCATTGTTGGTCATACCTGATTTATTAAAAAGTTAAATTCCATGAAATGAAATGGGGTTGAACGTCCTACTATTCTGCTCCGACTGCCCTAATAAGGACTGGCATACACCATATAGTGTGCTATGAGGGCAGCAGCACTATGGCCTACATGTACTTTTATATCGAATTCCAACTTCCAAGGGATTTTTTACATACACGCCAATGTATACGCGGGACCTCAGTTTTCGCCCCATCAAAATGACTAGACAGCTGTCCTTGTCAGGACCTCTGTCCTGTTCCACCCATAAGGGGAAACTACGGCAGAAAATCCTAATGAACTTTCTCAACCAATGCAGGGGTCGAACATGCGTCCTCTAAGCTACACTGAAAAAAAACTTGTGTTGGATCTCAACACAAGTACTTGTGTGAAAATTATTCTACACAAGTTATGTGTTGTTTTGCATTGCATTAACACAAACTTGTGTTCTTTTTAATGCATTAACACAAATCTTGTGTTTTTTCCATATAATTAACACAAGTAATGTGTACCGTCAACAAATATTTTTTTTTTTAAATTTGAACTCCATACAAAGTCTTAATCTGGGGGTCCACAAGTAAGAGAAAGGTATTTTTTACTCAGACAATATAGCCAGACAGACTTGAATGCTAATTGGTGTTAAGATGTCTGTAGTTAAAATAAAGTTGGGCCCAATAAACTGGTAGATCAAAGGCCTGTTGAGCGCTCATGCCCGGTGTGATTTTAACAATTGACTCCAAATGCGTTGACAAGAAAATAAGTAAAACTGTTATTGAATGTGATTGGTTGATAAAATCAACGTACTATAGGCTACATTTTGTCTGCGATATCATCTCGGTGGAAGCGGACATTAAATGAAGTGATTTCACACAATTAATTTAACATTTAACAACGTGCTGAAATGATTTTGGAGCAGTGATATGTTTGACAAATGTAAGCTAATGGTCACATAGAATACAAGACCGCAGGTTTGTGAATATTTATATAAAAAAAATAATACCATGTATGTAATTTAGCATCGATATTGTTTCTCTGTATAATATTAGTATTTCGTTTCCTTAAAAAAACCTCCAACAATTTAAACCGGAAGTTCATGTTTATAATATGGCGCGGTCAGGAAAAAAATTTCGGCATGTTATTATCAAATCTGTTCAATTTTTCTGAAATCATGCTTAATTAACATTAGTTGTTCGGCGCTACGATGTTGTTCAAATACTTACATTACAGAATCACATTATGATTAAAGCAGAAACGGTTCGACTTGAACCAGCAGGTAAGAATCTGTTTTGAAATTATATCTTGGGAGGTTGGATTGGCGTTGGAGACCCGATTGGCGGCCATTTTGATTCTTGTTTCATGATTTTTTTTATATTATAACGATTTTGCCAAGAGTAGACATAAACGCGGGCACAGACTAGAAAAAATCTTTTTACACTTTTGTGTTAGTTGAATTGTAATCTAATTTATGTTTAAAAAAACAACCTTAAATCAAATAAGCAGATATTTTCCCCAAACCCTCCGTTCAACCTCCGACTCTGTCACTCTGTGGAATATTATTAGGCCCCTATTTTCCTGATTCAGTCACAGTTAATAAATAATAAATAATGGAACTAGAATCAGTCTGTGGAAGTTTCTCTATAGTTTCATTATTTTTTCCAGTCAGTGATGATATGACTCATTCCACCTTACAGTTACAGCAATTACCGTATTGGGAATTTACCGTTCAAGGACTCCATTTTGGCATTGAATTGGAATTTGAAGAAAAACTGGTAACAATTTCATTTAATTTTTATATTTTCTATTTTTTTTTTTTACCAATGTCCTACAATGATTAGTGTATGTGAACATACAATCCCAAGTAAAGTATTTATATGACACTTACATGCAACAGAGAGAGAAAAATGACATAAACAAGGCCTTACGTGTACTTGTATTTGAAGAATCAAGTAGTCCAAGCTATGCCTATATGCATACCGGTAATCAACTACGACGACGATTAGCTTTCTTCCGTTTCCACCATTTCCCTGCACACTGTTCCATTCTACTTAGCCTACAGACGCTAGGTTGTTTCGGGAAAAAGGACAGGTAAGGTTAAATTTGATATGAATAATTCGTTTGCTGGTATGGGTATTTAGCAAACGGAGGAAACCGAATGGCCCAGAGAAAAACTCAAGAGATTGGACAGGCGACTCTACTCCTTGAA